CATAAAAATGGCAAAAATTATGGTGAAAATGTTTGACACGCATATTTCCTAAAATTATTTCAAAAAAGTGAATGCTCTACACATTTGTGACCGTTTAATAATAACAAATATCCAAAATACACAACAGCAATATTGAAATCCAGTTGAATGTAAGTTTGATTTATAAAGAAAAAAGCCAAAAACCAGAAAAAACTCAAATTAAGTTCAGTTTGCCAACAATTGCAACAATTTACAAACTTTTGCGTATTTATAATTTTAATATAAATGTTAATCCACAAATTTGTGGGCGTATAATAATTACAAATAATAATATTCAAATCGGGTTCAATGTAAATCTGATTTGTAAGTAAAAACACAAGAAACGGAAAAAATAAAATTGAGTTTGCCAAAAGTTTCGAACATTTGTTAATTTATGTTTTTAATCTAAATTGAATCATAGAAAACCTTAAAAATTGCCTATATAGTACTAGAATTAAAAATCTTACAAATGCCATATATATTATTCATTTCATTCATTTGGCATGATTTTGATGGATTTTTTGATCTACTCGAAATATCACAAAATTATTTTATTTCCTTTCCCCTTGTATTATTTTTTTTACATTTATTTGTTTGTTTATCCTAGCACTATTAGTTAAAAACTTACAAGTTATAATTCTAGTCACAAGTTTGAATGAGTAATTTTCATAATTCACAGAATACATTCTCGGTATCTTAAGGGTTTCAAAAATTCTTAGTTCCACAAATGGAAGAAACTTATTTTTTGGGATCATTGTCATATTTACGCTTGTTTTTGCATATCGAGTAATCGAAGATTTTAGCAGTAAATGTGTAATTCGTAGAAATTAAATGATTTCAACAAATTTGATTTTACTCGCTCGTTTGAAGCATTTCAATCTTAAGCATTAACCCACTTGTTGGAGTTTTGTATGAAGGCGAACCAGTGTTGAGTTTGTCAAATGCAGTTGAATATTGTTTTATAAGCAAGCGTCGACCTTTTATACTTTAAACAAAATAAGAAAAACCCCCTCGCACAAAAGTATGCTTCACTTATTTAATAGAGAGCACAATAAATATTACACAAGCGCAGGTGCTGACTGGCTGACTGGCTACCTGGCTGCCTGGCTGCTTCTTAAGGACGTTTGTCAGACAAAGAAACATAAAATCTGCTGCATTTTCAGTGTCAACAGTAGCAGCAGCATTCAGTGCAACAGCAACATGTTGCAGGCGCCAACAAATCGGCCACTCATTGTCGGATAATGGATAATGGAACAAAGTACTTACAAGTTTCGATAAAACCAAGCTAAGCTCCAAGTAAAAGGACTCGTGTTACTGTTGCTTTTCTTAAGTTTGAAAATCCTCGCAAAGGGTATTTTACATTTGTAAAAGAGCTTAACTTCCTTATAGTTGTGTTAATAAACGCTTATTCTTATTTTTGTTTCATTTTCTTATTTTCATTTTACAGAAATGAATGAAAATAATATTTATGAAAATATAATAAAAACATTTCATAGAATTTTTGACCAATTTTAATTCGTTTGAGATATGATATCCGATCCCGATAATTATGCTCCTAAAAACAATTGAATATCTAAGATTAGGAGCTCTAGAAAATCAGATGTAAATTTAATGCTTGAATGAACAGCTTTATTATGCTTAATCTGAATCTTATATTAATTGTATTTTATTTATTATTATTTTCCATTTTCTGGTTTATTAAAATTTAATTTGATTTATTACAATTTATTTGTAATTTAATTTATTTTATCTCATATCGACTATAAATATAATAATAGTCATAAACAAAACAAATTTTTAAAAATGATTGAAAGTGTTTAATCAAATTCAAATTAAAACAAATAAATACATGATATAATTGAATAAATGTTTGGCTTAATAATAATAACCAATCAATTAAATATTAATAATATTAATAGTAAAAACACAAAGAGAATTATATATGCTATATTCTACATATAATATTAATTGTTATTATTCTATTTAATTGTCTTTGATAATAAATCTTTCTCGAGTTATATTATATTCGACATATTAGAATAAGTTAGTAAGTCTTATATAATTTCCATTGAAATCATCAGATGCAGTTGTGGGACTAAAATAAAAATATATACAAAATGATTGTCAGGGTATGGCATATTCGGCATTTCTTATTCATTCTTCTTATTTTTTTTTTATGATGAAAAACCATTATATAACATCATCGCATTCGCTGGGAATGTAACCCTATAACCTTATACCCATTACAGCTTGTGGCAGTGTTATGTGCTGTGCTGTGTTGTGTTGTAATTTCTTGTAGCATTTGTATTAAAGAGAGTTTGAAGCCCAAGGAGCTTGCCACAATAACATGCAGTTAAATAATAGCGACACAGTCTCTCAGGCGACAAAAGAAACGCGCCGCAAAGTGCGCGTTTTGTATTACGCGCTGAGAACAACTCTCCTCCAACTGTCCCTGTCCCTGTCCCTGTCCTTGTCCCTTTCCCTATTCCCTAGTCCTATATTTCTAACTATATCCATGTTCATGTCCACAAGTCAACGCTTTAAATGCTCCACGCTGTTCTGGTCAAATGGTCCAATGCCAAAGGGCATAACCATAACAACGCCGCCAACATTCATCGGTTCAATCGCACGGCAAAGGGGGGACGGGGTTGGCGTCAAATAAAAAAACGTTTGCTCTCTGGACATATTTAGAAATCAAGTACAATGCAATCCATTGACCCCCCTCGTCCCTTCTGGCTATCGCTAAAGAGGCACACTTACTTAGGGATATATTGGTTTAATACTTTGCAGAACTTATCCTAAAGCATTTATCGTCATTTTAATTAATCTTCAATTAGCAAATAAAAGGCTTTTGATAATAATAAGTCTGACTAATCGCAAAAGGAAGCTGATAAGCAGTCACGTGTGATATTGATAGCTGATATCGATTTTAGATAAGCCACTTCGAATATGACGCAAAAGAGCAGCTCATTTTAATAAGTTTAGTTCACAGATAAAGCTGACAGAAACAAACGACATCTATCACAAATATTAAGTGCTGTTCTGTCAGTTGGACAATTACTGTCAGTCGAACAATAAAACTAAAAGGACAAGTCCGAATAATATTTGTAATAGTATTCAATGTGTCACCATAAATTAAAAGCTTGGATTTACTCATTAGTACACCTATTGGTAACTTGCCCAAAAATATAATTCCAATCGGACATTTATTGTGTCAATTTCAAATTACAAATATGTTGATGAACAAAAGATTTTCTTTAAAAACCGTCATATTTACAAATAATTTTATTTATTTAATGTGGACTGAAAACAGCTTACAATTTTTTAAGTTAAATTAAAAAAGTTACAGATTAAATTATATAAAATATAATGTGAATAATTAAATTAAAATTTATGAACAAATAAAATAATATTTTAAATTATAATTAAATTATAAATCGGTTGGGTATTCAAATGTAAAAAGGTGCAACAATTATTGTAAGGATTGGGTAAACCCACAGACCAAAATATTTTCAAATAACAAATAATAAACATTATTATAAAATTATATATATAAAAATAGAAAACTGCAATTTATAAACGAAATTATTATATACGAATATTGTATTATACGAATAAGCCGATTACTTTTAATTTTGTTGATTTATCACTTAGTACTGTTTAGATATTCGTATCTTATCTTCGATCAGACACAAATAAACACAAAAATATATAAACACATACTCATCCATACATACATGAATCAATCTTGCATTTTATCGATAAATACATGCTGTGTATATAGATATTTATTTATTTATTTTTCTCGAAAATATCTCAAACCTTCATAACAAATGAAAAGTTTTCTAATGACATAACTTATAAAAAAGTTGCTGTTGGTGAAGGAATTACAATTTAAAATAGTGGAATAAATGGATTGAAAGACAATTTCTGTTAACTTAACCATGAGATTTTATATAGCTTTTAAGTATTATATTGAAATTCATTATAGATTGCGCTTACAATCATTATATGAGTGTAAGTGAATCTATTACATATATAAAGAAAGTGGTTTAGTAAATATGAATATCTGATTTCCTTAACAGCTTCTGATCCAAACTTAGTCAGAGTGTTGCAGTTGTCACAGAGTTAAGGCAATCTAAAAAACTGAATCTCTAAAATTGTGACTCTTATTGCTATCGGTAATCGATCGGTAATATTAGAAGAGCCCAGCAAGTTATCAATCAAATTAAATAAGCTTAATTTACGTGAGGTTCACTTCAATTTCTAATTTGAAGTCTTTGATTGACTTGCTTATAAATCGACTTGATTTTTAACGGTGATATAGTTGCTATGGGGTCATCCATTTAAAAACTTTTGCAAAACAACATTAGAAAATTTAATCATATTCTTTTAACTATATATCACAAAGTTGTTGATCATTTTGATATGACAATTATATTCATAAAGGTATTTTTATTAGATCGTCGTTTTTCGACTTACTTGATTTAAGCTTAATGGTGTTGGTGAATAAATCTAACTAGACCACTTAATTTTTATACCATATATAATCTAGCATTTGCTTAGCAAGAATTTTGTGAATATGAAATTAAATATGTTGTTTTAATGTTGATTTATCGAATATTCAGTTCAGAGTTATCTTTTCGTTTAATAAATTATTCTGCTCTAAATTATATAGATCGATATATAACATATTTATATTTATTTACATACTGATATATATTTTTTACTTTTTCTATATTTTATATACCAAGCTATTTCATAAATTAAGTGTTGAAAATATATAAAAGATCAATACAACATTCCGATTACTAATGTTAATTACAGAAAATATCGATACTGCGCTCGATACCTTAACTTATTGAATAAATCTTCTTAGTCTAACCGCTAAACCTAGTGCATCAATTTTTGCCGCTTTAAAAGCCCAACATTAAGGTTAAGATTGTAGCTGTTATAATCTGAAAGGGGGAGGCATTAGATTTGAGTTGGGGAAGGAGGAGGATCTGAGATGTGAGAGAGTTGGAAAGTGTTTTTTAATATGTTCAATATTAGCTTTTTATCTAGATGTGAGCATATTTTAAGTTAATAATTATGTTAATAATTATGTATTGGCTACTGTGAAGATTATTATCTATTTATTTACGTATAATATATGTAATAGTAACAAAATGAGTGCAAATATTTGTTTTTGCAGTACTCTATTGGCGACATGGACGCCACACAATTGACAGAGCTGATGGGCAGCCATGACTTCATGCAACTGCAACAGCAGCTGCAGCACAACAACAACAATTACAACACAGATGGCCACAATGGACTCTCACCGGAATCGGCGGAGCGCAGTTCGCGGCCAGTGCGACGTGCAACACGACGCACCTCACAGGTAAAAATACAAAGAGAATTACACTTAAGCTAATAGAGAAATTGTACAAGTTCTACTCTTTACACACACACACACACACACCAACACACACACACAGCTAAGCAATAACACATACGATCTGGAGATGACGGACTCCAGTTCGCAGAGTGACGACACCAGCGGCGGCGGTGGCAGCAGCAACGGCGGCGGCAGCAGCACCAACAACACCAGCCACCAACATGGCAATGCCCAAGGCGGCCAGCGAACCTCGAGCCGGGGCAGGCAACAGAATGGGTCGACGGGCTCCAGTCTAACGGCGAACAGCGCCAATGCGAATCGCCGGCGAAAGGGTGCCCTCAATGCCAAGGAGCGGAATCTGCGTCGGCTGGAGTCCAATGAGCGCGAACGGATGCGGATGCATAGCTTGAATGATGCATTTCAGTCGCTGCGCGAGGTCATTCCCCATGTGGAGATGGAGCGGCGTCTGTCCAAGATCGAGACACTGACGCTGGCCAAGAACTACATCATCAATCTGACGCACATTATACTCTCCAAGCGGAACGAGGAGGCGGCTGCCATGGAGCTGAATGGTGGTGCTGTTGGTGGTGTGCTGCTGACGGGCTTAACCGGTGAGGTTGGTGGTGCAACAACAAATGGTGGGGCAGGTGGCGGTGGCGGGGGCGGTGCAGGTACTGCTGGTACTGGAGCAACAGTTGGCAGCGGCACAAATGGTCTTGTGTGCTTTGAGGATGCTTTGGCCAGTGGCTCTGTTGGTGGTGTTGCCTACGATTGTGCTCTGCTCGCCGCCAGCGATGGCAGCTTGTTAAGCGCAGCCACGCCCACCATGCAGAGCCTGCAGCCAACGCAGGCGATGCACATTCTGGCGCATCCGCCACAAGTGGAGCAACAGCAACAACAACAACAGCAACAACAACAACAACAACAGCAATCGCAGCAGCAACACTTACCACATCATCATCATCAACAGCAGCAACAGCAACTGTTGCATTCTCATGCTCATTTGGGCGCCAACATGTTGCTGCCACAACAACAGCAACAGCAGCAACAGTCGCAACAGCAACAACAACCGCAGCAGCAGCAGCAACAACAACCAACACTCATACTCAATGGTGGCTCAACAGTGAATGTTGCTGCTGGTTTTCCCGATGTCAATGATAATTTCGATGAACCTTTTCGGGAGTTTCTCTAAGCCGGAACATTTCTTTTTTCAGATCAGTCTGTGGTAAATTGGATATACTAAGTACGCAAAATAGAATTTATAGCATAAATATTCTTAAAATATAAATATTTCAAAAGCCAAGCAGCCAAATTATTCCAAACCAAAATCAAAATACAACTTCAACAAATTAGAAGATGTGCCAAAAAAAAATTATTCAAATATTCACTCAAATCAAAACAGCTTAGCTTCGAAAAAGTCGAATGAATTTAGCAAATTTCAAGACCAGTTTTCTCAAGTTCTTGTTAAAGTTAGCAAGAACTTTATTATTCCCCACAGATTTCTCTGTGCTTCTTTAAAATTCTAAGAAAAGTTGTTGAAAAGTTAGTTCTTGTTGAAAATTAGCAAACACTTTAATAAATATTATTTAACATAATTGTCTTGCTTGCTAAAATTATAAAACAAGTATTTAAAAAATAAATGGCTCTTGTTAAAGTTAGCAAACACTTTTATACATGTAGTAAATCTGCATGTTCACAATTCTTTTTAGCAAGTAGATCAAATTTGTTTTAATCTATATTTATAGAACCTTTTCTTTGCCCTGAAAAAATTATAAGACACGAAGTAAATAAATTATTCTTGCTAAATTTAACAAGCAGTTTAAAACATTGTCCACTCCATTTTCTTTATTTTTTTTTTGGCAGCTATTCTGATTGGGAAATGAGAAAACAACAAGCAATATTCTTAAATGTCAGCTAAAATGAAGTTAAACAGGAATATTAGAAAAAAGCTCGCAAAATTCGATGTTTATTAAGTTCTCATTTTGCCAACACTTGAAGAAGAAGAATGATTTTGTAAATTATTAAAAACAAAAGTCGAGCATTGTGGTGCAAATTTCAAGTACATAACGCAATTAATCCAAGTTGTTAATATATGTATGTATGTACATAATTATAAATGCATAGTTAAGAAAGCTTACAAAATTACACATTAATTACAAATGTAAATCAGCATTAAGAAACGGACGAATGAAACACGAGAAAAGCAGCTCAATTGAAATGCTTGAATGGAACAGCAGAGTTGATTGGCTGACTAAAACTGAAACGAGTGAATGAAACGAAGCGAAGATGAAAAAGAAGAACAAGAAGAAGAAATTCAACTCAACTTCTATGCATGTGTGTGTATGTCTATGTGTGTGTGTGTATGTATGTAGTATTTATGTATGTGTATTCAATTGGGAGCAAGAGCAATAGCAACAAAGGCAAAGCATCAATTAACGTAAAAATAACGGTACTTAAGTAGATGCTGCTGATAGCAAAAATGTCGACGCCCGGGAAAATTGAGCGAGTGACGCGTCGCTTAGTTAATTTACCACCCATGATCTTTTTAATGCACTTGAAATTTAGTGTTGCTCTAATGGTGGTGTCACATTAGGAGGCAGGCGTGGGTGTGGGGGGAGAGGACAACAACAAAACAATTAACACACAAAAACCGTTGAAAAGCCAACGCATTCAAACTGACACACTTCCGCTGTGCATGCTGACCTTCGCACGATAGAAAGGGACAGCAACACGGCAACAATGTGATGACGTCCTTACGGTAAACAGTAATAAAATAACAATGCACGGCAGGTGGCGGGTGTGTGTGTGTGTGTGTCTGTGTGTGTGTCTGTGCGTGTGTATGTGTGTTGGTCTTAGCAATAATTAAGTGAAAAATAGAAGTTAGGGTGCCTGTTTTCTGTGTGTGTGTTTATCTGTGTGTGTGTGTGTGTGTGTGTGTCAACTTAAGCTTGTTGATTATGTTTGATTAGTCAAGATTTAGCAAAAGTTAACTGGGGGTTTGCAATTCTAGTGCTAGTACACTCAAAAAAATAGCAAAAACAAAATATGTCCTAGATTTTGGAGCATTGTCTTAAATTCTTCGCCAAAAACAGCTCAACTTACATTAAATTTTTTATTTTATAAATAAAATGTCCTGATTCAAAGGAATCCTAAGTCTAATAAGTTGTTCGCAAAATAAACTAAAAAGTTCCATAATATTTATTATGAAAATTTATTATTATAAAAAATAACATTTTAAAAAAACTTTACAAGTGTTATGTCTTTATTTGTTTTCTATTTTAATTTTTACTTTGGAAAATAATATTTATTATTATTAATGCTAATTTAAAAAAAACTTGTAAAATTATATTTAAAGAAGAAAAGTTTAAGGTATTGTTTCCTTTATTTTATTTACTCTTACCAAAATAATTATTTTCAGAAAATTATATTTATTATTTAATTATTAATGCTTTTGAGTATACTAAGAAAATTATTTTTATTTGTTCCTCAAAAGAAAATGTATAGTTTTAATAATTGACAAACATACAAAAATTATTTAAAAAAAAATATAAACTAAAATATATAAAATATGAGAACTTGAAGTAGTTGTCATTCAGCGGAAACAAGTTTTATTTTAGCGTACAAACTTTTTTCGCTTGATTTTTTTTTGTTAAGAAATTTCAAATAATAATTTCGTAGAGTCCATTGGATTTTCTTTAATTAATAATTCAAATTTATTTTCAAACATATATCATTTTAATGTAGAAAGTGATTTCTAAGAAACCAAATTCATTTTGTTTTTTTTTTGCGACAGTTTTCCAAATTCTAGGACATATTTCTACGAGTACAGTTTGCTCAGAAAATACAAAAAAAAAATATTTTGTAGAAATATCAAAGGCCAAAAATATAATCGATATTTATCTTTATTTCTTAGTAGTAGTTTTCGCAAGCTGGAGCGAAATGGAATGTGAAATCCGGATTGAATCCGGCTTGTGACGAGTTATTCTAGTCAAATTCAGTTACGATTTGCGTAAAACTTTTGAAATTGCAATATAGGCGAGTAATTTAGTTGTGTAGAGAATTATTAAGCTAATGTTTACAATACAATTCACGTCTATTAAAGTATATACATACATATAAATATATTTATATATTGTTTAAAATGTAAAATGTAAAAGAAATACTTAAATACCAACTAGTCTCATTGTATATAAAATTAAGTCTGGTCTACAAATAATGAGCATTTGGTGTGTACAAGCAAAAACAGCAAAAATAAAGAAATAAATACAAACAAGTACTCTTATGTACATATTATATATATACAAATATTCTTGTAATTATGTATGTAGTATTTATTTGCAAATATTGGAACATTTATGTATCAAAACTGTATAGAGCATTAAAGATATCCACGGAACCTAAAAATATTGAATAAAGTCAGAAAGCATATGAAATATATAACTGGGCTAATGGATTTTAATTGTTCAAAAGAAATTAACCTGCGAATACGAATAAATAAGTCGAAAACAGAAATTCGCGAATTTAAATCGATGATAATTTAACCACAAACCGCAAGTGACTTAAAAGTCAATTTAAATTTGGCGGCGAATTTGAAATCTCGGTTCGGAATCGCTGTAGAGCTGCCAGATGTGTGAAAAGAGAAGGCAAGTACGTTGGATACATAGGTCATCGATAATATCGATAGCTGTTCGTATTTCTTTTAAAAAAAACTTCTAAAAGCCTATGATCCCTGTTTTTTACCACATAAATATACTTTTTAGTATAAAAACGATATATTTCGTGTTATGTTGTGTTATAATTACACTGCCATTGTATATATAAAACAAACCGTATATCGAGATTGTGACGTCACGCACTAAAATACTCATTTTGGCTCTCTCTGCGGGCCAATCGTATGTAAGCCGAGAAACGGACCTGCGCAATGCGCTCCACAACAATAACCAAAACAAGATTTTGTGTTTGCGTATGCATTGTGTTTTTGCGCCTTGCGACAAAAACATCGCGAGCTGAAGCGGAAAAATAAACGATCCGTCAAGATACAAATATTGCAAGAGGTGTGATTTGTTAATTGCAAGCCAAAGTGAGTATATTAAAAATATAGATAATAATATTAAGTGAATAAATAGTGTACTAGATATTTAAGTGTGTGTGTATATATACCTGCGTGTGTGTGTATATAGGAATTAGGTGAAGCTGCGGAGAGTGCAGTTATTTCTTTTCAGGTTCACTGCCTGCTTCCGTTCTACTTAGCTGCTCTTTTGTTTGATGCTCTTCTATTCTATTCCCCTTCTTCTTTATTGTTCTTCTCAAGACTGAGATTTTCTTGAAGGCTGTATATGAAAAACAAGTTATGTATGTATGTGTGCATGATTTAAAAATGCAGGTATAAAAAACAGAAAAAGCGGGCAATAGTTGCATTTTTTTTGATGCTGCTGAAAATTCCGCTGCACACATACTAACGTCTTTTTCTCTTTAAGCATGTGTGTGTGTGTGTGTGAGTTTGCATTTGCCGCTTGAGTTCGTTACAGTTTGTTAACCTCGTCGAGTGAATCGCTGCATTTTTGGGTGTTTGGTCACACCGCGCTCCAATTTGAACTCATTTGCGGCTCTTAACACTTTTGTCTATTGCGTTTTAATTTCAATGAAGAAACTCCCACGCCTACATACACACACACATACATACAAAGACAGAACGGTCAGTGGAGCTTTCGGTTAATGCCCCGTTAGCCATGTCTATAGGTAAATTTCCGGAATTAGCTAATGTCACGCAACGCATGTTATTCCTATTGTTGTTGTTATGCACATGCACACATGCAAACTCCACACATCAAATACATACACACACACAGACACACACACACGCACACTCAACTTGGCAGCCCACTGACCCCAACAATCGCCACCCATTTGAATCGAAACTCCCCGCGAACAGAAACCGAAGCGCAACAAGAATGAACACATAGAAAAATACATTACAGTGTGTCAAGATTTATTTAATTTGTTTTTCTTCTTAATCAAAGTTTTTGTTTATTTGTTGCTTTGAAATAGATTACAATGTGTCAGTGCATTGTCTAACTTTTATTTATTTGTATTTTATTTAATCAAAATTGTTGCTTATTTTGTTTATTTGTTTTTGCATTGCATTAATTTGCCGAATTTTTACTCATTTATTATTAATTATACTTTTATTGTTAACTTTAAAAGTTAACTTTTATATATTTACTAATTTTTTTTCATCAAAATTGTTGCTTTTTATTGAGCAGCCTCTTAAGATTAGTTGAATGGAATACTTTTTGTATAAAAAATGCAAATAATATACATAAATATAAAGAATACAAAATAAGATCACAACTCTACATTTTTTTTTTTGTAATTTTGTTTTATACGAAGGTTCAGCGATTAGAATCACTGCCAAATTTAAGAACAATAGTTCGACCTTCGAATTGTAATTAAAACTCATTTAATGCATTTTTGATCAGTTGTTATATTTAAAGAATAAATCTAATAACAAGTCTCAATGGGGGCGGTGAACTTAATTAATAAAAAGGACACATGATATAATTATAGAGCGCACGCTCAACAGTCCCACACACCACTGTGCAGTCCGAGTGGCAATGTGAGTGTCCTTTTTCTACATGCGTCAGTTGCGACAGGTGAATATGTGAACAGGTGAGCCGTTTCACTTCAGGTTCTTTTATAGAACTCTCATTTCATTAAGCCGTTCGTAGATATTGGTATAGTTATACCCAAAGTTATTAAACACTTTCCCACCCACCGCTGACACAATTTGGCAGGCGATCGATTCTGTTGGGGGGCCACCGGGCTGACAAACTGTTCAATATTTTGTGTATTCATTTATATTCATTTCCCATTGGGAAATTATGTCTATTGCGTTGGTCAGCTAATTGGTACAGTGACCTATTCTAATTGAATAGTTCAAATGGCCGCGCAACTCGCACATAATTTGCTAGGTGAATTTAAAAAAAAATGCTATAGGTCAACAACGGGCAACATTCTGTAGTTATTATGATTAAGATTTTGTATATAAAATTCAAGTATAATTAAATTTGCTATTATTTAATTATAGAAGAATAAAATAAATATATAACAAAACTTGTTTTGTGCTTGTTTAGCTCTATATTTGATTTATTTATTTAATAATTTACTTTTGCTTCCTTACGCTTCCTAAAGCAAGTCGTTTAGAACTATTTTAACATAAAAACCAAAGGAAAAAGATCTATAAATAAATACATTAATTAAACTGTGGAGTAAAGAGAGGAAAAGATAAATGCTAACAATTTTAATCTTAAATAATACTTAATTTATTCATGCTTAATTCTGAAAATTTGCAAACAATCTTTGTGGTATTTATTGCATTTTTAAAATTATGATTGCATGCCTGTCAATTATTATGATTTTATTAATATTGTTTTGCGTCCATTGCCAGCTGTCACTTTCCATAATACATATAAGAAAAATGCTACAACCTACAACCTCCCACATTAGACCTACATTTGGGAGGCCTGCGCGAGTTCTGCATTTGCAACCACTTGCATCGATTTTTATGACAGTTGCATTCAAAACGGGAACACAGCTAGAGCCCATGTCCTTGCCACAAAAAAAAAAAAAAACAAAAAACAAAACTATGCAACTCAACCCACAATTCAATATAATAACAAATAATGGCAACAGAACTAGGCCAGCCAATGTGGAAATTGCTAAATACTCTACCCTCTCTTGGCCACTTGTGCCACAGTGTGGCAGAGTGGCACGGGGCTGTTGTTTGCCATGGGGTTAATCCGCAGCCAGACGTCGCTAGATATAGATACGCAGGTGTGTGTGTGTTGGTGGGCAGTTGGTGGCAAATAGAGACGAGACATTTGGACATCGTTTGTGGCTCGCTGTGGTTGCGTGTCTGTCACGGATTTGGGGGTTGGCTCCACCACACACTCACACACACACACACACACACGCATCCACACACAACTTTCCCTTTGACCAGTTATTGATTATTGTGTGCAGACTGCTTTTTGCTTGCATTTTGTTAAATATTTTTCCCATATATCGTTGCAGTATCTGAACGTTATACGTGGATCAAAGTTTGTTTCCAAAATGGCATCCGGCGGCTTGACATGCGTCAAATACATAACCTTTTTTTGCAATTTGCTGTTTGCGGTAAGTTTAACCGAACTCAAAAAATATTTCTGCGCATTTATAACTCATTATTTTTGCCTGATTCGCACAGCTGACTGGTCTGCTCATCCTGATGGTGGGCGCCATGGTGCAGCTGAACTATGCGCATTACTCGAATTTTGTCAGTGATCATATATGGACCGCACCCATTATACTGATGGTTGTTGGCGCCGCTGTGGCCTTCATCTGTTTCCTGGGCTGTTGTGGTGCCTTGAAGGAGAACAGCTGCATGATACTCAGCTTTGCCATACTGGCTGTGGTTATTTTCCTCCTGGAGATTGGTCTTGGTGTTGCGGGCTATATCAAGCACTCGGGCCTGCAACAGTTGATGGAAACCCAATTCAATACGACCATGAAGCATTATAAGGATCGGGATGATTATCGCGATGCCTGGACTCTGTTGCAAACCGAACTGGACTGCTGTGGCACCTATGAACCCAACGATTGGGAGGCCATCTTTCCCAACAAGACACTGCCGCCGGCCTGCTGCAAAGTGATCAATCTGAGCGAGGCCAAGGAGTGCACCACATTGCATTCTGTACAGGAGGGCTGTCTGCACAAGCTGTTGGGCATAATCGACTCCAAGACTCTGATATTGGCCAGTGTGGTGCTCTCCGTTGCGGGCATACAGGTAGGCGTGTCGGCCAGCTATTATAATAATTAAATCCAACACTTGCTAATCTATTGTGATTTTGCTTGCAGCTGCTTACTATACTATTTGCCTGCTGCTTGTATCGTTCGTTTCGCCGCAGCTACGATCACGTTTAGGCTGCGCAGCGAGGATCCCATCTATCGATTTTAAAATGGCAAACGCCAGTTTCGTAGCTTTGTAGTAGTTTTGGTCACATGCATGCGAAATGCCTGCCTCGTTGCAGTCTCGTCGATAAGAAAATATATATAAATATAAGTAACACATACCAACTCACTCAATAATCACACACAATCCAATCCATATGTCAATCACAAGACCAATCTTTTAGTTTGTTACTACTTGTTAATGTTATTTCCTTGGCTCAGTTGCGCTGAGCTCTATGATTAAGCTATATACATACATATATCTCAAAGTTTTCTATTATCCAAAAAACTTATTATTTGAAACACTCCGCTCAAAAGCTAAATATTCCTGCACTCTGTATATTTTGAAGACTAATTTTTTAAATATATTTTATTATATTAAGTGAAAGTAATGATATTATTTGTATTTGAAATTATTGCCACATCCTCATTCGCCAAAATTGCATTCCACCGCCACACATGCCCATATGTGTAGATCATCTATATATACTATATATACTGACTGTTTCGAAATTCATTCATCATTTCATCGGTTTACAAAGTGTCCTTGAAACAACTTTTTATATGTAGAAATTTAATGGCATTCGAATTCTAAATGTATTTGCGTGTGCCTCAGTGTATGTGTGTGTGGCAAACTCCCTAAAAACCAACCCACCATTTGCTACTTGTTTTGATATACCCCATATACTACCTAGTAATTTATTATACAAGGTATATTAAGAGAACACTGCATTTTACACACACACACTCATAAATATTTTAGCAACACACAAATATATAAGTATACGTATATGAATATTTATGTGACAGTAACTTGTATCGAAACAAAAAAAAAAGACAAAACTTGGGAGAATTTGAATTTTACATATCTTGTCAACTCCTGAAGAATGAAACTGTTTAAATATCGAATTTACAGTTTGAAATCGAACAACATAAATTAATTGAAATGCATATTGCATATTTTGTCTCGAAAAAATCGCGATTTTCAAAAACGACCACAAAACATCAAATATCTCAATTCAATGAACTCAATGTTAGATGACTAAAATGCAATAAGTTTATAAGTAATTTGTCTTAAAATGCAACAACTCAGCACGATATATTAATAATCATGTGGTTTTTAAATATGTATGTATCTTAAATATAAGATCTGAGTTTAACCGATTGTGCAGCACTGAAAAACTTAAAAATCAATAAAAGAACAATTGAAAATAAAATGAGAAACGATTATTTTATTGTAACTGGAGAGGCTCCTTTTATATAGATTGTTTTTATTATTTATTTGAATTTTGATTTATAGTTATTTTAAGAATATTACTTCCCGTAACCATAATACGACCTAAAATAATATTTAAAACAATCCAATTTAAATCGGTCCTTCTATGTTAAGTATGTATTTTGTACAAAATTAATTAATTAGTACTTAAATGGTTTGGCTTATTATCTGATCAGCTTATATATCAGCTGAAGTGAACTCTTATTAGATATATAATTTATAAATTTTCAATAAGCATTTAATCTTTGACTCAAGTTTGCTTAATATAATATATATTATATGTATGTAATTTCCTCTTTTACTTAACAGTTTGTTAAGAATATCTTATGACAAATGAGTTTTTAATTTTAGAACTTACCCAAACACTGATGACAGTTTCCGATTTCCATTAACGTGACATTAGAGTTGAGAGATTGTTTTCCATAGTTGTCCTGACCACGAATATATGTGCATATATATTTCAATATTGTGAGGTTGTCAAGATGAATGTACTCCATACATACAGGGGGGTAGTTGGTTGTCCCTGACAATAGGATTTGTTGTTTGTTCAATAATAATAAACAAACTGAGGAAGCGGCGATAACAACGCTTGCAGTTAACATTTGAAATCGAGTAGAGTATAAAATACATATTGAAAATTAAGTAATTCTTAAAAAATACATTAAAAAAATATATATATATTAATAATGTCGGAACCTGTTGGCGATGCGGCATCGCGCAAAGAGATAAGCGGCCTGAAGCGCATGACACAGAAAGGATTGCGAGATATATGCAAGAAGGATAAGTTATATCAGACGCCCCGATTAAATGATGTTCTCTATTTGCACTATCAGGGTAAATATCTTACATACAGCGTCTCAAGCACAATCGATTTATATATTTTATTATTAGGTTATCAATATATTGAGTGCTTGGAAGAGTACACAGAGCTCAAGTGCCTGTGGCTGGAGTGCAATGCTATCACGGAAATTGAAGGTCTTGAAAAACTGAGCAAACTTCGCTGCCTGTTTCTCCAGAATAATCTTATAAAGCGTATAGATAATTTGAGCTTCTGTCAGGATCTGGACACTTTGAATCTGAGCTCAAATCATATACGCAAAATTGAGAACATTGGTTCTGATATATTGCCTGTTTTGAATACCCTTAATATATCATCCAACTATTTAAAGGACATCGAAGGTCTGGCCGATTTGGTTAATTGCAAGAATTTAGCTGTGTTGGATCTGTCCAATAACCGCATCGATGATATTTTGGTTGTTAAGATCTTTGAACAAATGCCATGCCTCAAAGTTTTGGCGCTACAGGGAAATCCGGTTGTCTCACGACTGCCCCAATATCGAAAGACCTTGATATTATCCTGTGTGAGTATTTAAACTGATGAAAGTATATATATATATTTGTATTTATATATTTTTGTCCTTAATCTCCCATAGAAAGAACTCACTTATTTGGATGTTCGACCTGTGTTTCCACGCGATCGAGCCTGTGCTGAGGCCTGGTAAGAATGATTCTACATTATCTATGACTGTGATTGTGACTTACTTCACATACATATTTATACATTTGTTTTTTAATATTTTAGGAAAAAAGATGGCTATGAAGGCGAACGCAAAGAGAACCAGCGCTGGAATCGCGCAGATCGCAAGAAAATGCGCGATGGTGTTAATAGTGAGTTAAACCAATCGAGTTAATTCCTTAAGGATTAACGAGCTTGTTGCCTAAATGAATATCTCCTTTCAGACACCATAAAGTTGCGTAATCGTCATCGACCAGAGGGAGAACAGGATGCGTTGATAAGTTCAACCGATTCCGAAGCGGAAGGCGAAAAAGATAAACGCGGGGAAAGGACGCAAGTGAAAGCTGATCTAGAATATGGTTGCGTGGACAACATTTGGGCTGAAGTATCTGGAGAAACTAATGATGACAGCTCTGGTCCCGAAGAAACTAGCGACAACTCGCAACCAGAAGATGTGGCTGAACCATTAGGGCGGGGTCGAAGGAAACCCTTGGAGGGACGTCCAAAAATACTGCATGAGTCTCAGTTCCCTGATGGGGAAAATAATGAGAAAGTGGAGGAAAATCAAGACAAACTGGAGAGCAAGGATCAAGAGCTACAAAAAAGAAAACATGTGCTTATAGAGGAAATACAATCCGACGATGTAGATTTGAAACGTCAGGTTGAGATAGGAGAATTAAATCAAATTGATAAGCAACTAGAGAGTACAGAGGAGGAAGACAAGCTTGAAGATAAATTAAAGATACTCGAGGAGAATCCAGAAGTGGCACAGTTAGCACAGTTAGCTGATGATAATAAGGAGAAGCTAGAGAGCAAGGATCGAGGACCACTAAAAGGAAAACGTGTGCTTATAGAGGAAATTCAATTCGATGATATAGATTTGGATCGTAAGATTGAGGTCAATGAAGCAAAAGAGACAGGCAAGCTTGAAGATAAATTAAAGATAATAAAGGAAAATCAAGAAGTACTCAACGATGTTGATAATAGAGAGAAACTGGACGGCAGGGATAAAAAATCAACCAAAGGAAAACGTGTGCTTATAGAGGAAATTCAATTCAATGATATAGATTCGGAACGCAAAGAAGCAAATATAATGAAAAAACAAGTGGAGAAGGATCAAGAGCTACAGGAAGGAAAACGTGTGCTCATTGAGGAAATTCAATTTGATAATATAGATTTGGAACGTAAGATTGAGTTCAAGGAAGCAAAAGAGACAGGCAAGCTTGAAGATAAATTAAAGATACTAAAGAAAAATCAAGAAGTCCTCTATAAGGAGAAGCTAGAGAGCAAGGATCATGAACCACAAAAAGGAAAACGGGTGCTTATAGAGGAAATTAAATTCAGTGATATAGATTTGGATCGTAAGATTGAGGTCAAGGAAACAACAGAGGAAAACAATATTGAAGGTACATCTCTTGAGGAAGTTAACCTAACAATGACAAAGGAAGAAGTTCAACAAAAGGAACTGAAAGCAGAGACCACAAAAATTTCGAATAATAGCACTGAGAATGTTGACAGAGAAACGGAGCTAAAACAATTTCCAGATCTTACAACTGAAACAGAATTGAATCTTGAGCAATTACCAGATCTTACAGCCAGATCTGAGCCAGATAGTGGCTCGGAACTGGATGAAAAAACTGCAGCAGATCTAACGAAATCTTATGAAGAATTTAGCGCTTTAGTTTATGGCAATGCTGGCGAACCAACTCCCGAGCAAATTAAGCAGCAATCTATAGATAGAATGTACAAATCCTATGCAAGCGAAATATTTGTGGAGCAACCCGAATTTAGCGAGGAAATGTATGAAGAGGAAATAAGCGATTGGAATATTGAGCAAAAGATGAATGATTGCAAGGAACCTTCGGTCTATCCGAAGAAAGCTGAATGTAGTCCAACCAAAACTAAGGAACAATTGGATTTCGAAGCAGAATGCGTCGAGGCAAATGAATTGGTGGAACGCAACATTGAAGAGCTGAGCAGTCAGTTGACAGAGGATTTAGAGGAGCTTCAGCAACCGTTATATCAGCGGCATGAAGAGCTGACTGAGACAATGAAAAGCACCAGTTCCGATGAGGAGAGAGAAGCGGATAAGAAAAAGTGCATAGAGCTGACAACTGTAGTGCGATCCTTGCGCATTAGCGAAGAGTTTAGTTTGCGACGCGAACGCATTAAACAGGACATGAAAATGCAAGAAAATAAGGACGAAAATCAACAAATACCCAAAACACAGATAGAAGAGAAAACAAATGTCCTCGCTTGTGACAAAGATGCCGAAGCAGTTGATGCTGCCTTGGCCAAGTTCATTGACGATTGTGCTGATGACGTGCCGCGTCGTGTTTTTGGAGCTGGCTGCGATGCACCCAGCTATAAATGGCATCAAGAGGAATGCATGCGGCAATTAACTGTAAGGCAGAAGCAGATCCACGTCGATGAAGACCTGTACCAGGTACAACCGGTAAATGAGAAAACTAGTGCCCAAGAGGCGAGCGAAATTTGTGAGCAAATGAGTCAAAAATTGGCCGATGATGAAGCTGGGCTACGTGAACTGCTTCAGCAGCTGGAGGATGAGGCAGATGTAATGTACGATATTACAAGCACTATGGGTGATGATGATGATGATAATGGTGAACTGTCCAGACTGCCGGAGCCACCCATTACGGAAGTGTGTACATCGATTCTAGATGAGCTCATCGGTGAGTTGCAGTACCAGGAAGTGATCAATAGTCAGAATATCAAATGCTTTGATTTTGGCTTAATTGAATCGGATGAGGAGTATAGCTATTCGGCCACACCCAATGTTGAGCCGCTCGTTCCACCGGAACTTGTTAATCTGGTTGGCGGTAAAACCATACGTGAATGCCTCGATTCCTTTGGCAGCTTTCTCGGCTCGGTGGCCGAGCGCAAGGAGGAAAGAAAACTGCAAAGTAAACCCACAAGTAGTTCGGAAAAATTGCATGCTGCCAAGGAACTGCTAAAAGGAAAGAATACGAAATTGAAATGGGAGAAGGCTGAGAAGCTGGATGCTCACTTGGCCAAGATGGAGAAGCTGGCCAAAAAACGTGCCTCGACTATTGCAACCCGTTGCTATGCGAAGCGTGAGAACCTCGAGGACTCGCTGGAAGTGATTGATAATAAGCTGGTGATTGTCAAGAAGGATACCGGCTTAGTGGAGGATCTGCCGCCGCCTCCGGATTTGCTCAATATCAGCGAGAGTGAGAGTGAAAGTGATAGTGATAGTTCAGATGGAGTGGCTGGTTATGTTACGGCCGAGGAGGGTCAAGCAACCGAACTAGACAAAGAAAGACGCAACTCTCGCTATTCCTGGCCGAAGGCTGGCCAAGATGAACTAACATCCAATGCTCAATTGAATCAAAATGAGTTGATGGCAGACAACAGCCTGGGCGAGCCATCGATAGATCAATTCTACTCACTCGAGGCAAGGGCCACCTTCAGTGCGCTGGATGAGGAGCTTAAAGAGAAACTGGATCTGCAAAAGGCCCTCGACAGTGATGGGGAAATAACCGAGGAAAGTTTGCGCAGCATGGATGAATTGAGAGCCAACTTGAAATCAAAGTACCCGGAAATAATTGAGCCAAATCCATTGGCTCTGGTCAAACAGGATGAGATGCTAGAAGGTTTGCTGGACCGCAAAAGATTGCACGATGAACGCGAACGTCAGCGACTGAACGCGAATGTGGAGAAAGCTGAAGAAGATCAAGAGCCTAAAGGTCAATCCGAACGAGAAGGTCACCCTACAACCTTAACCCAAAATGTGGTTGATCCGGTAGAAGAGGATGGAGAGCAAGAGGAAGAAGAGACACAAGATTTAGTTTGCGACAAGGATTTGGGTATAGCTCAATTGACGCTGGGTTCATGTAAGTTATACGAATTGAAGAGTGAACTACCAGAAATGAAGGAGGAAATAGTAAACAGAGAGCAGAAAGAGGAAATCGACGATCAACCAAGAGAATTTGGGCAAAAGTCTTCTGAAAATGGAAAAGTTATTGAGGAACCCAATGAAAAACACAGTGCACCAACAACTGTTGATAAGACACCTGAAGGCCGAACTCTACAAACTGAAAATAAATGGAATACAAGCATAGATGATGATATTGTATCCGATGACTCCACTGACTATGAATCAGGCGAAGATATATCTGTTGTAGAGCCACCTCTGCTACCCGAGGGTGTGCTCGATGAATTATTTAGCAATCAATTTGAAGATGGCCTAAAACTCGAACGGGAAAACGAGCAAACTTTGTGCAAAAAGTTTTTCAAACTGCCCTTAGACGCTTGGACAGCCCAAGAACAAATCAAATCCAGTTGTGTGACTCAAGAAGATGAAAAACTGGTGAATGAGGAAGCAATTGCAGCAGTCACCGATGTGGACGAAGAAAGCTCAGATCTGAAAGCTGATAATAATACAACCAAAATATCAGAAAAGCCAATTAAACAAGAAGCGAAAGATCAAAGTACGGATTCCGATACAGATGATGGTGCTATAGGCGAACTACAACGTAATGCCAAGCGCCAATGGGCCAAGATATCAGAGAAACTGAATGAGTTCATAAATTCAGATGATATGCAATTGCTGGAAAATAGTCAATTCAATGAGAACGATAGCAATGGCGAAGATGACGACGAATTAGAGGCGAGTCTGAGAAAACTTAATGAAGTTTATCAACAAAGTAAACAAACTATTGAACTGAATAAATCTCGGGAATCAACTGGCAATGGTTCCGGCGATAAGATTAACCAATCTGACAACAAATTGGCAAATAAAATGCACGAAATTGATCTGGACAATGGTTCCGGTGATAAGATTAAACCATGTGATGGTAAATCACACGAAACTAATCAAGAGAATGGGAATGTCGAGGAATCAAAGCTAGCAGTAGAAGACATAAATCCTGCTGAGGAATTACCTCAATCAACTGCAGACGACGCTCAATCCACTTTAAGACTGGATTACTTTGAAGCTTTGGAGCCGGATAATTCGGAGACCGATTTTAGCAAAGCGGCCGAGTTAAAGACCGACAAAATCGAGTGTAATCTGGAGATCCTAAATGAGGATGGTGATATTGTGCTTCAAGAGGTCAGCGTCGATGCACAAGTTACCTACGAACTTAAATAAGTGACGGATATGCTTTGAAATTTGTCAATTATAATTTGAATAATTATTTTATTATTTTTTTTTTGGTTTTTTATTCAAGTTAATTGATGGAACACACCTCTCCACTGTTTGAACCCATTGATAACAGTGCAGGGCATTAGAATCGCGAACCAGTTTTAACTGCTTCAAAACGTTCTATAGCAGTTAGTAAAAAAAAAAATAAGATCAATGTGTTATTTATAAATAAATTATGTCTGAAAGATTAGTGGGACTCACTGTATTTACTGCTACTTCGATTGCTTATCAAAATTAGCACATCTCGAGTCACTTGAAACCAGTTCAGCGTATCGCCCAAACCGGTTTCGTGCTTTGTTTTCTTGACTTAGTTGGTGGCACTCGATCAGGTTATCGCTTATCAGCAACATTATTGCACTATTCCCAGAGGAAGCCAAATAACACAAGCACGAGCAGCTGGGGACTGCGTGCACAGTTTATTGGACACTATGCCACATTGATGTTGCGCAACACATCATAGGATCCATATATATATTCTGTATATATATAAAATATATATTCAGCATCGAATATAGCCAGCTGACAACAGTAATCTCTGGGCTGTTTTTGCATATTTATCAGCTTACTAGAACTTCTAGAGGGTCATTTATTTTCGGGAATATGTTTATTTAAATATTTAAAGTGCTTGCCAAGTTCAGTTGTGGTCGAGATAATAACTTTGTTTGTTGACAATAAAAATGTGTATATGTATGTATGTATATGTATCAAACTAGTTTTTACCAGTTACCAAAAATTTCGACGATCATTCCTTTATCTTATCTACAAATAATATACTTTTTTCAATAACAGTTGTGCGATGGTTAAATATATTTTTTTGTATATGGGTCACTTGCAACCAGTTAAAAAATTTCAATATGCTAGTTTATTAGTCAATAAAAAGTAATAATTGGTGGATCATTCTGATAATTATATTCGAATCTGCTAATAGCCCTTCAAAAATCCTAATAATTAATTTTGAATAATTTACTAAAAACGTCTATAAAATCTGAGATGATTTTTAATCAAAATTCGTGCAAGAAATATAAATGAAAATCGCATCGGGAAATTTAAAATTATTCTGGTTCTCAGAAAAATTATCTAAATACATGAAAATATAATTATTAAAATTTGAAGGCTTTTTTATATTTTTCTATATTTAAGATATAAATTTCTAAAAAGTCGAAAGACACTTAAAAATTCTGTGTATTGCATAAAAGAAAATCACTGGAAAGTAGACATATTTTTTAGTAAAATAGAAAATATAATTTAGAAAAGGAAATCCCTGGTTTTTAGAAAGGCAACCCTGCATTTTAGAAAGATACTTACTGAATAATGTGGTGAGCTGCCCTTGTCGACAAAAATATGGTGATCTTCCAAATTTCAGTGCGATTTTCTGTTTAAAACACTAAAGCAGCAAATATATTATTGAGTCCGAACTGAAATCACCAATTAAAATTGCGCCAAACGCGTGCAAATACATTTCAAATGAGTATAAATATTCGTGCTTTAAGAAACAATGCAGAAACTGGTTCTTTATGTGATTTTCTTATCTGCATAATTGTTTGACTAGGCAGACAATGAACCAAACTGCGTGAGAATGATCAAGTAGGTAACCATTGCCGTAAAAATCTGCAGAAATATGGATGCATATAAAAAAAAATTCAAATCTGTCTTTGAATATGGGAGAGAGACGTACCGACATTAGCAAACTGTAATCGATATCCATAAAACCCTCGGCGCTGATGATCAATGCGTCCTGTTCCACCTGCATGGCAAATTCAGCTAAGACTGCATTATAGGCCAGCGGGGGCGATGCAGCTTGGCGCTGGGAGGCACATGCCAAGCCTCGCACGTGGCTGCCAATTAGAATGTGCTACAACGATACCGATAAGAATTTAGAAAGTCGTTCTTAAATAAATATCTAGAAACTTTTCTATAAAATATTAACAAAAAACATTCTTACAGGCTTTTTTTTTATTGTTTTTCAGAAATATAATTCCTTAATAATAGAAAATACTTCTAATGATGAATGATGAGTTTTAGATGAAATTCTTTCTGAAATTCAGAAAATAATAATGATTTGCTATCTGCTGTGTTAGAGTTTAGGTGTTGGTATAATGATTTTCTAAAATTCAAGTAAATCTTTTTTCTGAGTGTAGATTAATGTTACATAATTCGCCAGCTCATTCACCTGTCGCTTGCAGTATTCGCCACATCGGCAGAACGTAAAAAGTAGGATGAGCAGCGGCAAAAACGATGAGCAGGTCAGGTAGAGGAATGGCCATTCATAGACCTCGTTGAGAATTTGCATTGCCCAGTAGATGTTAATCATGCTGTCCAGGAACATGACGACAAAGATGCACACAATCGACCAACCATACAAATCATTATATTGTACAAATAAATGATATAGTTCCATATACACCCGCTTCAAACTGAGCAGATGTTCCAGGGAGCATAATGAATCGGTGCCCAGCTGGCGACTTTTGTGGACAGCCTGGAGACGCTCACCCAGTAGCTCCACATGATAGCCTAAGAGTTCGGCATAGATCACCAGGAGCAGGCACTGGAAACGAATTATTATAAGGGAGGGTACCGAGTACAAAAAGTGGCCGACATAATCATTATATAGCACCACAAGGACACTCGGAACTAAAGTGAGCACATTTAAAATGCCCAGCAGAAAGAACTTGATATATCTGGTCCAGGGTAAATCCACAATTGGCTGCTGCAGTTCGCATTGGAAGCGCAGTTTCAAGCACTTCAGGTGCAGACAGAACTCGTAGTATCTTTTATACTGGCACATTACTTGCAGTTCGATAACTGTTTGGCAAAATCAAATACAATGTTAATAATTTGTATGATTAGTGCAGAACATTATATACACGCCTGTCATGGTCACAGTCTGTGTGATAAACACAATGATGCTCACCAGCATCGATACCAGTATTTTCACATCGGGTGGCGCATAAACAATTACATAGAAGGTCATGCAGTTGTTTAGCAGTATGATGGCCATCGTGTAGATCTTTTGCACCTGCTGCTGTGCTCCTTTCTCCGACCAGGGCACCAGGCCCAATATGGCAAAGTATTTGATGTATCGCTGCAGACCGCACAGCATGTTTAGCTATGGCCAATTAAATGTATACTTAAAGGAAAACCTGAAGTCCAGAGTAACAAACTGAAAGATAATGCAATTTTCATTTCGTTCTTGCTAATTAAATTCAACAATTAGCTAAATGCATAAGGGGAAAAGCGAAAGAAATGAGTATGTATGAAAGGTGTTAATATTAAATGCTCACAAATTAGTTCAGTAGATATACATATATATATATATATGTATATATTGTATATTAGCACGAAGTACACAATTCTATGGACATTATTTGCTCTGTGCTATTTGAGAGTAATGCCTTAAATATACAATGAGCTGCAATTTGCAAACTGCGAAAGACAAATATATTTATAAAAATGAAAAATTTGAAGAAAAAAACAACGGAGCAAAATTTATTTTTTAATATACTAGTTTGTTCTACCTTAACATTTTTGTTTTTATGTATTTGATAACTTATTTTTTGAAGCTATTTAATTTTTAAGTTTAATCATTCAAAAAGTACAATATAATAAAATATTGAAATTAATCAAATATTTGTTGAAGTTCTCAGATTTTTTAAAATATACTTTCTGAATGCGAAAAGTATGAATATTTTCTAAAATTCAGTTCCACTTTTTTTCTGAGTGTCTGATTCCTGTGCTTTTTCAGCTGCCCTTGACATTGCGATTATAATCAGTGATATTTTCAGTTTACTTCCCCTATAACTAGTTCAGGCCAGTTAGCCATGCAGTTGTAATTATATATTTATGATTTAGTTTCATATGACAGAATGCAGTCGCATTCCAAGTAACATCTGCAAATCACGCGAAACGCGAAATAAAATTGCAACAGCAAAATAGATGTACATATAGATGTTTGCTAGCAAATTTTCCATTGACAATAATTAAGTCAATATGTATTAGAAATCAGGCCCACATTTCTATGATCATGCCTAATCACCATGCTTATCAAAATTTCATTCAGCTGCGACACTTTTAGGCTTTCAGCTTACTGCACTGATAAGCGTCGTGCTCCACAATTTTGTTGTTTTATTCAATTATTGGAAAAGTAAAAGTATATGTAGGCATTTAGGTATGAATATATGTTTCGAAACAGCAGCGCCAGCTACTGCACGTATATGTTTGTTTTTTTAGAATCGGCTGATAATACTGTGCCGCCTCTATTGAGGTATAAATATGCCTCGCCACGGAGTGTGAGACTCAGTTAATAGAAGTTGCTCAAACGCTTTGCTCGTCAATCTGAATATTAAAAGTGAAAAAGCATTTCTTCTCCCAAAGTGATTAGATTAGCAAAGACAACAAGTCGTGACATTATAGTTTGAAAAGTGTGAAAAAGAAAACTGGAACAGTGATTAATTATGGCTGTTAGTTCACAAATTAAATATTTTTTATAAATTTTGCTTTGAAACTTACTTTAAAATATGCTATTTAATTCTTATTATTTCAAAACTGGAGTAGTTATTTATTTTGGCCGGTTGCTGACAAATTTAATTATTATTATTCATATTATTTTTAGACGTAATTGATTAATATTATTATTTAACAAAAAAATAGAAAAAATATCATTGCTGTTAGCTTACAAATTAAATAGTAATGACATGCAATAATTATTATTATTATTATTATTATTATTATTTTGCAACTATTTATTTATTTATTTTAAAGTTAAGTTCTTTTTATTTTTGATACTAAGTAATTATATTCATATTCAAGGGAAATATTGCATTTACTAGATAGATGTTGAAGAAAATAAATATTCTTAAATAATGTAAACTTGCTCCGCGTTCACAGCACTGTTTGGTATTGGCCTCGTTTGGCAATAACCCAACGTCTGTAAAAAAGAGTTGTGAGGTATTTTGATATATTGGGAATTAAAAAAAATATAAATATGAATAATATATAAATAATGTTGGTGTAATTTGAACATTTTTGAAGCAATGCAAGCGCAATAATCTGTTTAGGTCAGCTGATTCAAATTACATTATCAGCAAGATTAATTTGCTTTTAAAATTATTATTGCACTGGGTATATATAGTATATATAAAACATTGAAAATCATAATTTTTAACTGAGAATGCACTTATTTTCTTGTAGTCTTCTGCATTTCGAAAATAGTTTTCTTATTATGTATATTTTATCTGTAGTTATTAAATAACTCTTTTTTTATAATTATAAATAAAGTTATTATTTTTTTTAACTGACTTTAATTCAACTGTTATTTTTTAAACAATATTACAGACCAATCTGCGCATTGCGGTTATTGGCCAGAGCAACTTTGCCGCCGATGTATTGGAGCAGCTCTTGGAGAATTCAAGCGTTAAAGTCGTTGGAGTCTTTACGATACCCGATAAAGGAAGTCGCGAGGATATTTTGGCTACCACCGCTGCCAGCCATAATATACCCGTTTTCAAATTCGCCAGCTGGCGACGCAAAGGCGTGGCCCTGCCCGAGGTCCTGGAGCAGTACAAATCGGTGGGAGCGACCCTCAATTTGCTGCCGTATTGCTCCCAGTTCATACCCATGGAGGTGATTGATGGGGCTGCACTGGGCAGCATTTGCTATCATCCCTCCATATTGCCCAGACATCGCGGAGCCAGCGCCATTTCCTGGACACTCATTGAGGTTAGTGAGCAGAGATCATGATTAGATAAAGCACAAACTAATTTATATTTAGTAGATAACCTTAGAACCTTTTTATTCCGAAATATTTATATATACAAAATGGGTGTGTCTTTCTGAAAGCATTTCTAATTTAAAAATATATTTTTTCCCAAATTTAGAAATTATTTCTTATCAGAAATACCTTCAAGTTCAAGGCTGTTTTTAATCAGATTTTTATTTTTTTGAATGTATGAAAGGTATACGGTTAGAAGTCAATTAAATATATTTAAGTTTTCGGATGCTTCACAAATTAGTTTTTAACTCGTATTTGAGTGTGTATATAAAAGCGGGAAGAGTCAGGGGTTCCCATAACCTTTGACTATATTACTGAATGTACGTGATATATAAATATAATGAATCTAGGGGAAATATTCTTCAGGGAATTCACAAGGTAAGCGATGCTAGAATTACTGCGAATTACGTGCATCGTCAAATTCTGTAAAACCACTAGATTATTGCTTTTAGTCTATTTGTAAATAAACAGTAACAATATTAGTAATATATTCGAAATATATTAGATGTAGATGAAACACAGATGCAAAAATATTAAAAATATTCAAAATTGCACAAGCTAAATTTTATAAATTAAATTTAAATAAATTATATTTAGTTTAGGACTGCCTGAGTTTTATGATGGTTTTTAATACTCTTTTTTTTTAATTTACAGGGCGATGAGATCGCTGGCTTCAGCATCTTTTGGGCAGATGATGGTTTGGACACTGGACCACTGCTGCTGACGCGCCAGACAAATTTGGAGCCAACAGACACTTTGGACAGCATTTACAAGCGATTCCTATACCCGGAGGGTGTTAAGGCAATGGTCCTGGCCGTGGACATGGTCGCCAAGGGCACGGCACCAAAGATCGTGCAAACTGAGGTGGGCGCCACCTATGATCCCGCCATGTTTCGGGCAGAGAACCAGATACTGAATTTACAACAGTCAGCGGAACGTATATGGAATTTTATTAGAGGCTTGGATTCAGTGCCGGGTGCCATAGCGACGGTCCTTCAAGCCGATGGCAGTGAAGAGCAGGTGCGTCTCTTTGGCGCCCATCTCTACTCAGCGGGACCCGTACGAGCCGCACAAGAGATTAAGTTGAAGGGTCTGCCGAAGCCCGCCTGGGTGCATGAGAATGGACTCTTGATTGAGGGCACCGATGGCCAACTTGTCAACGTGCGTCGCATTAAGCGTGGCTCCAAGATGATCAATGCATGCGATTGGTTCAAACTGGCCGAACATCATCCCATTACGGACTTCACCGAGGATGAGTTGGTGAAGCGAACGGATCTGTCTGCCATTTGGCAGGCGATATTGAAGCAATCAATTGAAGCATCAACGGATTTCTTTGCTGCCGGCGCCGGTTCCATGGATGTGGTGCGTCTCGTTGAGGAGGTCAAGGAGGCATTCGATGTGCCCCTCGAAAACGAGCAGGTGTTCATGGCGCCCGTTTTCGAAGAGTTCTTTGATCTATTGATTCGTACACTGCGACAGGGCAGCTCCGGCGGCAGCTCCAGCAAGATTAGCTATGAAGGATTCACGTTGAAGGCGAATAAACGTGAGATTCGAGTGCCAACCCAGCTGTTCATCAATGGTGTGTTTCTGGATGCCGAAAAGCAGCGCACCCTGGACATTATCAATCCGACCAATGAACAGTTGCTCTGCAAAGTGGCATGTGCGAGTGTGGCAGATGCGGACAAAGCTGTCCAGGCGGCGCACAAAGCATTCTACGGCTCCTGGAAGCAGGTGTCGGCCAGGCAACGGGGTCTACTCATGCTCCGGCTGGCCGATCTGATGGAACAGCACAAGGAGGAGCTGGCGACCATTGAGTCTGTGGATTCCGGTGCGGTTTACACGCTGGCTCTGAAGACACACATTGGCATGTCCATCGATGCGTGGCGTTATTTTGCTGGTTGGTGTGATAAGATCCAGGGCAACACGATACCCGTGAATCCTGCTCGGCCCAACAATGTGCTGACCTTTACGCGCAAGGAGCCAATTGGTGTCTGTGGCCTTATCACGCCCTGGAACTATCCACTGATGATGCTCTCCTGGAAGATGGCCGCTTGTATTGCCGCCGGCAATACCTGCCTGATCAAACCGGCTCAGACCTGTCCATTGACAGCGCTCAAATTCGCAGAGCTCAGCGTACTCGCTGGCTTCCCGCCTGGTGTGATTAATGTGCTGCCCGGCAAGGGATCGGAAGCGGGTCAGGCGGTTGCCGATCATGGTTTAGTTAACAAACTGGGCTTCACCGGTTCGACGCCCGTTGGTCAACACATTATGAAGTCCTGCGCCGCATCCAATCTCAAGAAATGTTCACTGGAACTGGGCGGCAAGAGTCCTTTGGTTATATTCGCTGACTGCGATTTGGATAAGGCTGTCAGACATGTGAGTAGTAGCCACTATTCACTTGCTTTTTATTTATTCAATTGTCGTAGTGCAAAAACAGTCCTCAAGTTTCTTTTTGTTAACCACTTACTTTTTGAGCCAAAAGCAGCCACCTTATTTTTCAGAAATTACATATTCTATATGGTATATCTCATTACTGAGGTCGATTTTTCTAAAAAAAAATTCTTAAGTTATATGGAATTCAAATAGATTCTTAAATTAGCCTGTTTTGTTCTTGTTTGCAACATAAAATAACGTAATAGCTCATAAAATAACTTCAGCATCAGTGAATTTTTGGCTGTTCAGCTTGAGCTTTACCTGGTTGAACTGCTTGGTACTGTTGCAATATGTTCGGGTTGAACTGCTTTGTGTAGCTTGAACAGTCGTGGGTTGAACTGCTTGCCACCAGCCAGAAAAGCTCTACTATTAAAAACTATTCAATTAAATATTGCATTTAATTTCATTGCTTTCTTGCCCAATTTAGAAAGAAATATTTTCAAAAATAATTCGTCTTAATTTCAAAAATAATATATTGTAATATTTCAAAATATTTTCATTACAAATATCAAATATTTTTAAATAATTAGTATTTTATTAAGTTGCATGCAAATATTATACTATATTAACTATAGAAATATATTTTGTACATCAGAATACTGGAAGTTGGTTTCTGGTGAGGTATATTTTATGGTCATAAAAGATTGTTACAAGAAACTGGACAGGTAGAGCAGCTTCTGTCATAGAAGGTGTACAAGGAATCTAACCCCCATATAATAATTATAACTAATAATTTCTGACAAATTCTGTTGTTGTTTTTAGGGCATGTCATCGGTATTTTTCAATAAGGGTGAAAATTGCATAGCCGCTGGACGTTTGTTCGTCGAGGATCGCATTCACGATGAGTTTGTGCGTCGCGTGCTGAAGGATTTGCGCACCATGACGATTGGGGATCCGCTCAATCGGTCCACCGCACATGGACCGCAGAATCACAAGGCTCACTTTGACAAGCTGATCGAGTTCTGCGAAACGGGCGTGGCAGAGGGCGCCAAGCTTGTCTACGGAGGCTGTCGTGTGCCCAATATGAAGGGTTATTTCTTCATGCCAACAGTGTTCACGGATGTTGCGGATGATATGTTTATCGCCAAGGAGGAATCCTTTGGTCCCATCATGATCATATCCAAGTTTAATGGCAGCGATGTCGATTCCGTTATGCTGCGTGCCAATCGCACGGATTATGGACTCGCCAGTGGTGTCTTCACCAAGGACATTAGCAAGGCTCTCAATTTCGCCGATCGCATCGATGCTGGCACCGTTTTTGTAAATGTCTACAACAAAACCGATGTCGCTGCTCCATTTGGTGGCTTCAAGCAGAGCGGCTTTGGCAAGGATTTGGGCCAGGAAGCGCTCAACGAGTATATGAAGACCAAGTGTGTCACCATTGAATATTGAGCCCAGTTTTGTGAACCTACGTCAATATTCAATATCCAAGGAAAACAAAAGACTTTATCCATTTCATAAAATGCAAAACTGCATATACGTAATTCTCAATAAGCCTATGTATACGATTATTAACTAACAGTCAATAAATATTTTAATCTTTGAATTATGCGCTGGTATATTTTAATTTTAGCCACGTCTATTACATTATAATTTTACACTAGTTGGCAACAGGAAACATACTGTTCCATTTATTGCCTGGTACCGTTGAAAAACGTTAAGCAATTTATGTATACCTGAAAGTATTCTAAAATGTTTACTAAATCTTACAGTCATTCGTAGACTTAGTAAAATCACCTGAAAACTAGACAAATTTACTGGTTTTTTGTTATAATTTAAAACTATACTAAAAAAATATCGTTTAAATTAGAAAGTTGTTTTTTATTTTAATATTGTTAAAAGTATTTCTATTATAAAGAAATACCCTTCTACAAAATGGCAATGAAATCCTTTTGTTTAGATAAAATACATTCTAAAATGTAGAGCGAATTAATATTTAAGTAAAAAAAAGGCAAGCATAGGAATAGAAATATTTTTTATAAATTAAAGAAAATGTTATCTGGAATTAGGAAAAGAAAAATACTGTGTGCCCCAGTTATGGTAGAGGAAGAGTCGGTTTTCAGATAACAGCGCTTAACTCTGGCATAAGTCTGCAGATTAAAATTATAATTGCAATACTTATTAAGTGAAATGATATTCAGCTCAACTTTATTGTCCCGAATTTTGCGCCTTTTGTACAGAGCTATCTGGAAATTTCCTTGACAACACAGAGCATAACACAAATTATTCGTTGGCTGAAAAGAACGCCGCTCGCAGACAATCATAAAAGTTGGCACAACTTTTCCGCAGAGTTTTCCACTCTGCAAGTACAATAGGAATGGCTTAATGCAAATCCCAGAAATCAACCCACTCCCACCCACCCCTGAGGCTAACGACTGTGCAATTGCACGCAATCCAGCTGAAAATATGCAGCCGCATCAGCAATTTCCTCTAGCAATATCAGCACCATTCGCTCCCTTCCCCCTACTCGTTCCCTTACTCCCTTGTTCTTGCCGTGTCAACTTTGAAAGCAGAAAAGTTTTGACAGCCAATGTGGGTCAAAATGCTGAAGGCTCGAAGCATTGTGCGTTGAATATGAGTCTGTTATTTCATAGGCTCATAATTTATATATTTTAAATGTATTTCAAGCCCATTGTTGGATTCTTTTCAACAATTTTTGCAAGATTCTTGCATTAAGCTAACACAACTTTAGACACTTTTTTAGCCTTCTTATCTCTCTTTCTCTCCATTGTTGCCTGTTTGTTCTGACATCTTTTTGTATGTAAGTTGCCGCCAGCGAACGGAAATTAATGCAGCAGCATCTTCTTTTCTATATTTAACATGTATCAGCTGAAGTTGAATTGCAGCTTGACCTTTACAGACTTAGACTTAAATGGGAAAATCTAAGACGAATGCAGTCTTAGAATAAGAGCGGCAATCTTGGGCAACCCGAATATTACATACACTTTGATATTGAAGTCAATCAGCTGACATCTGAATTTTGTTCCTGACTTCGAAATATAAATGATTTTACTAATATTTTAAAATAATTTTATTTATATGTTTTCTGCTTGAGTGTGCAATTAAACTAGAAAATGTTTTTAAACGAATTAGTATATTTATTGAACAGCTGGTTTCTGCTACTTGAGCTCTCTCTCTATTCTAGAGCATTCTAACTTATTTATTATAAGCCTATTACGTCTCTTGAATATAAATTTGAAGTATTTTCCGTTTTATTCATTTTAATACATCTACATTTATTATGATAATTTCCTTTTTTTAATAATGATTGCTTTTTGAGACATATTCTATAGTCTAGATAGAGATACCCTGTACGCAGTCAAAACTTACAAAAAACAAAAATGAACTTTCATTTTGTTTGCAAATATCTTGAAAACATGTTTTAGAGATTGCACTCGAAACGGCCTCATAAAAGATACACTAACAAAGGAAACTACATTTTAGTTAAGATTCCTTTAAAATGCATATAGACAGCTATAATAACATCTTAATGTACTTGATCTAATTATGTCTAAATTCTTTCTTTTTTTTTATCACCATATATATATATGTTTCAATCAGTGCTGAGTGCTTTTGCCTATAAATAATTGTTGCAACTGCATATCGCAACTGTACTTCAAAGATAATAACTGGACGGGCAGAAATCGCAATCGAAGCTGCTGCCCAAAAGTGCCGCATTAACTGTTATTCACAAGGGTGAATCGCAGAAGGCAAATACTTAAGGCGAATGATACACTCAGCAAAAAATTTCCTTATAATGGAAATGGCTCTAAAAACTATACAAATTTTCCGAGAAAATATTTCTTACAATTTTTTAAAATTGTTTCTATTATTAAGAAATACATTTCTAAAAAGTAGATAATTTTTTAGAAAGGAAAGTTCCGTATGTTTTAAAATTGTAATCTTTTTTTAAAACTAAATAAATTTAAAATTGTAAATTATAAAATTGTAAAAAAATTATCTAAAATATTTGTTTATCTGAAATCCTTGAATTATATATTTTTCAAAAATCTTACAATTATCAACAAGAAGAAAGAATTCTAAAATTCTGAATTATTGTTGTTGCCTTTGGCGACAGAAATATGCCGAACTTCCGAATGTTGGTGGCTTTTTTTCGGAGTGTATGAGTAAAAGCCAAGTAATGACAAAATATGAGGGTGTGTGTGCGTGCTGGTGTGTGTGTGTGTGTGTGTGCGTATATATGTGTGTGTGTGTGTGTGGGAGTTGGAGTGTTATACGATGCCACAAGAACTAAATAAACCGCAATAAACGCAAAACTAAAAGATTCCAAGGGCTTAACTAAGAGCGAAATAAACCGTAATACAGACACAAAAACACACACACACACACACACACAGACAGCGCGTCACACACAGCATAACAGTAAACAAGGCTTGCGTAAATGTCAGCAATTTGAAGCAGGTTAGCATTTAAAACCCAAAATAACTAAAGGACTAGCGAAATACGAAACTGGACTGGCTGATGGAGGAGGGAGTGAGGGGGGGGGGGGGGATTCTCCATAAAGTTGGCAGATGACATGGGATGAGAGAAAGAGAGAGAGACAGAGAAAGATGATAAAGAGAAGTGGCTGCTGAAAGCGACTGAACAGCAGTCGATTGTATAACAAGCGCCGTTTATTCAGAACAGCTGAGATATGACGTAATTGAAAGTGGGCAAAAAACAATAAACGAATAATGTTCACTCACAGGCCCCAAAAAGGACCAACCCCCCAAAAAATAAAATCAACTCCGAGGGTATGACACACTTGATGACGTCCGATTTAAGGGTGCTTCTGTATTTTTTTTTATTTACGTAATCTGTCAATATTTTGGCTTCAGTTTTTGGCGAGTTGAAGTAAAACTCTTTGGTGGCAAGTAATCAATAAATATTATATTACAGAACTCTGCGGGAATCATTTGCTTGCTACCACGCTCCTCTCTCTCTCTCACACTCACTCTCTCTATCTGTCTCTCTTCGGTGTATTGCGCAAGCTTGCGGCACATTGACTGGAAATAGCTGCCGTACTCGCCTTGGAAGTCCAACGGTAGATTATTGTTTGCCGCTGCTTATGGGTCTCTGGCCGCCGATTTAAATTCTATGTTAAGTGAGCTTAAAACTGAAGAAACCCCAAGGAACAATCAACAGGAGTTGGAAAATCGTTTTCCACGCTCAAAAATTTTGAAAATATCTTTGGACGATGCAGTTAGTTGTTTTGCAAAACGCTTCAAATTTGAGCTTGAAAAAGTTGAAAAATAAAAGTTTCAACAATAAAATTAATTATTTTTTATTAATAGTTTTAATTTAATGTCCCCTCATAAATATTCATATTGATTTAGACTTAAGAGCAATATTAGTTTTTTATTACAAAAAAAATGCGTGCTATGGATCGATTTGTTTTTCTGTTCTCTTTCTTATAGCACTCTATTCTAATTCTAAACTCATTTCTCTATCTCTCTCGCACGCTCTGACTTAATCTGTTTTTCGCTCTCCGTTTCGCTATCTCTATTATTTTGTTACTATTTCTCTATCTCTATCTCTCTCCCTCTCTACCTTCAAGTTTTCAATTTAGGCTTACAGTTATGATTCACAATTGTGAATATTCAACAGTACTTTAAAGATATTGAAAAAGCTCTATTCTATTTTAGCTTCACTCTCTCTGCCGGAAACTATCTTCCACTCCCTTTCATTATCTAACTTTCACTCTCTCTCGCTCTTTTACTCTCACTCCCTCTGTCTTTTATGGACATATGCATATGAAGATATATAGATATTTTATATAATTTTTATTTGTATTTTCAGTATTATATTTAAAACAAGATGTTTACGTTTCTTTGAAAATGTTCACAAATTACGCATGACTGTCAAAAATCAAACCTGACAACAAAAGCACACAGTTTGAGAAGGACAGGGCAGACTGAAAGCTAGAAGCTAGCACTGCTTGGTATGCAGCTCACGCACTGAACGAAATTGCAAATCGCCGCAGCAGCAGCAGCAGAAACGCCTGAAACCTTGAAAGCTTGCAGCGAGCCCAAGTGTATTTGTTGCTCTCCTGCACACGACCGGCCTTATGAGCGCCCCACCATAGAAATGGGCGCCACCCACAGTAACCGAAACCGTTCACGTTCCAGTGACGACGACTGCGTCGCCCAGCTGAGTAAAAAGCTGCGAAAAAAGCTCTGATTGTGTCGTTCCATGCCCATTTGTACGGTAGGGTGAACCCCCACCCCTCCCCCTGACACGCCCCAAGCCATAGAGTCGCCGTCTTGGAGTGCGAACGACGACAAAACGCGACCGCAGCCGAAGTGGAGCCGAACGATTTGCTCACAGCTGCAAGTTGCGGTGCTGGCAAAGCTAACGTTCGACTGCCACTATCATTGGCGTTTTAACTGTGGACGGTTGCTACTCGCACTCGCTGGCGGATTAACGGCACATAGATATAAACAGATATATACATATATTTGTATATATATATACATATATATATATATATACATGTATATTTTGAGAGTTAATATGTGCATGTCTGCGTAGAGAAGAAGAAGAAGTAGAAGAGGAGGCTGAAAAGCAGCGTTCAAGAAAATCCATCTGTATGTGTGTTGTTGTTGGTGCGCCGCTGCGAAAAATATTACAAATTTTCATGTATTTGCACAAAACGTTGGTTACATAAAAAAAAGCAAAAGAAAAAAATATCTCTCGAGGTGATGATGCAAAAGTGACAAACAAAAAAAATTCTTTAATCTCCCGACCTCAATAATCAAATAAAAAAGAAAAAACACAATTGAAAAAAATCATGAAGATTATGCAAAATATTCTCAACCACGAAAATAAAAAAAAAGACAAAAATGATAGACAATTTTTGTAGTGACTCTTTGAATAGCGTCGGCAACGGCGGCGCTAAAGGCGACGCGACGAGGACTCCTCCACTAGAAAAAAAGATATCCTTGCAAAAAAAAATAAAATTATGTACATACCGAAATTGGATTTTTTTTTACTGCTGAACAAAAAAAAAAATGCAAACATAATTTTAATTAAACATAATAACCAAAGAAGGACAAAACTAAAATCAATTAATATTTAAAAATAATTTTTCAAACAAAAATACGCGCATAACCTAACATTATATAAATAATAAAATCTAACAATATAATAGATTGAAGCAATTTCTATTTCAGAAGTGCTAGAAATTAATTTACAGTTAAGCTTTTCGAGCAGACAACGCCTAGAAAACTATTGATTGTGCGATAAAGCATATATAAATATATATCCGTATTTATCTATATATCTTTTTCGGAGTCTTGGCTGTTTTCGAATCGCTTGAAAAAAAGTGGCCTCCATGTGATTTTCAGTGCATATGCATAAATTGTGTAATCAATATGCGCTTATATAAAACTTGCAATCCCAACTTAGATAAAACGAACTTTTATAGAAAATTCAGAAAATACGCCAGGAACAATTGCCATTAAATATAAAAAAAAAAAACGGAGAAAAAAAGCATTGCCTACATTTGTGCGCCTACAGCACTCAAGTTAGAGACTCCACTGACAGACATTTGCCACAGGGCACATCAGAGGCATACAGGCTATATACCGAGGCCGTTTCTTTCCACCCCTCCCCTCCTCACCTCTGCCGCCACTGACGCGAACGCGCGTTGCGCAATGTGGCAGCAACGTCGCCGGCGGCAGCATTCAAAGTAAGTCAAGCAATGCGTATGCGTGAGACTTCAACGCACATATCCAGTTAGTTGGCTGTATTTTTAGCTGCAGCTATAAAAAAAGAAGAAACAGATTAGAGAAAAATGAATGTGCAATATATAATATGATAAGCGCATATCATAATGAAAATTAGCATAGCTTTCATTGCGCGACCAGTGTTGCAAAGCGCTCGAGCTATGCTCGTGTTGTTGCCATATAAGGCATAGCAAAGCGGTCTGCTCAGCACTTCCCTTGAGCATTTCCCAAGGGCTATTCTAGCTGTCATTAAGCTGGCGCCCAGCTGTCAACTTTTATGGCCATAGCCCATCCGAAAAAGAAAAAAGAACCAGTGTTTTACCGTTCGTTTCCAAAGCTGCACCAAAAAAACTTCCAACGCATGTTCCAGGCATTCTCTCTTTCTCTCTTCCTCTCAATCTCTCGCTGTCTCTCTCCACACCTTCGCTCTGATTGTTTGCTCTCTCAGTGCGCATACGCCGATTGGCTTGGGCTAGCTTTGGATGCTTTTCCACGCTCCTCGCTCGAGATTACATAACAGTTGGCAGAGTGTGTGGCTGAAATCGGCAGGCGACTGCAATTTGTTTTCACGTAAATGACAAAGATTTGACTAAAATTAGCAACATTAAATTAAGCAAAATTCATCAGAAATTCATCAAAATTATCAGCGAGTGTGGAAATCTGTTAAGTAACTGGAAAGTGCACTTCTGACCACTTTTCTGTCTGTGTCCTTGTGTGCAAAAAAATAACAAAAAAAAAAAAGGAAAACGCAAAGGCAACAACCACAGGAGGCAAATAAGATATCAATTTTTTTGTCCACTTTTTTGGTCTTTGCCAAATGAATTTGTAATGTTTATATAAGCAGCAAAGTTGATTCTTGCCCAAAATGGCATGGCTCAAACTTATCATATTATTATTAGGCTTCAGCCAGTTGTTAAACTATTAACTTTTCTATAATATTAAAAAAAAATTATGTAAATAAAAAATCTTAAGTTGCAAGTGTTTACCTAATGATTGGTTATATAAAGAATACCAGACTTTATATAGAACTTCAAATGGAAATTGCTTTCAAATATCGAAATAAAATAATCGAATGATTTAACTAAGAACTTGAGTGTGCCTCTTAAGCTTGGTTTACCACCCCTCCCAACAGGTGGTAGAGCAGGCAACACTTACCTCATTTACTCATAACCTTATTTCTAATTTCAGTAACCAAATAAATTTAGCGCAAATCTTAACACAATACTGCTACGAACATTCAGAAAAAACCCCCATTTAAAAATGTTGTACCAACGCAGTTGATTAAGACACACCAAAAACCAAAAAAAAAAAATAAAACCAAATAACATAAAATAAAACCAAATATAAATATTTAAATAAAATAATAAATCGAATATAAATATTCATAACGATAAGAGTTTAAAACTTAAACATTAAGACACAAACAAAACCAAAACCAAAACGAAAACCAAATAGTTTAACACTAGCATAATACTAGACAGACAGACACCCTCCTTAGACCTGGTGTTATCGCATTGAGCCGTACTTAAAGCCAAGAACAAGCTAAAATGGCCGACAAGAAGATTGGTGAATACTATTCGCCGCCGCCAAAGATGGGCAAATGGGAGGGTTTCAGAAAATTCCTATGGAACAGTGAAACTAGCCAATGCCTTGGACGTACCGGTTCCAGTTGGGGTGAGTACACAAAAACCAAATTGAATAATTTTACTTTACTTTACTTTACTTTAGTCCTAACTTTGACACACTTATTTACAATTAAGTCGCGTTCCAAATCAATCAAATTTCATGCATTGCGCATACGCCGCATGTGTCAGCGTTGTGTTAATGATTATTTTGAGGGACATTCAAGGGCATGCCCTTTTATAACTAAATATATAATATTTATAAAATATTTGAAACATATGTATGCATTTTAAAATCATACGTAAGTTATATAGAAAAGAAACTTGTATACTGAATGTTGACCAAAAGCTTCAGTTTTTTGTCCGATTGCTTCTTTTCCGAGTTTCCACTTTATATATTAATACCCCCAGATTATTACTTTGTTTTAGATTTTCGTTTTGAATGTATCTATTCGATTTTAATATAAATATGTTTCGGTATTAACATATTTAAAATGTAGAAAATAGGTTTCCAAACAATAAATAGAATAAATATTCACTTCAAATTGTGTATAATTTGTAATATTTTTTTTAGTTATGTAATATTTTAAATATTATAAATTAATAAAGCTTGAAAATTATATGAGATCTTTTGGACAACAAAAATTACTATGTTTTTATGTTGGCTAAAAGGCAAATAATGTAAAACTAAAGTAAAATACGCGTATAAAAATCGTTAGCTAGAGTTGTATAACAATTGTTTCCTAATTGCGGGGACAACTACTTGTTTGTATAAGTAAAGTTTTTTTTTTTTACTATTTGCTAATAGGAGCTTCTACTATTTGGGCTCGAGATAGGGGATGGAACGGCCATAATAATTTTTCTTGTAATCAAATATTCAAGTTGGTAAACGTGCCCAGCAATTAACTTGTTTTTTTTTCCAGTACATAGGTGTATTATTTTAATTTGAACCTTTGTGTTCACCCTCTTAATGCGTATCGATCCACTGGACTCATTTTGTGTGCCGTGCACCATAAAAAGTCACGTACTTGCTGGGGCCAGTAAATTGCCTACCAGCACTAAATATAGAAGCTAATATTATTGTAGAGACCACATTTTAGCTAGAGCACATGCGCTTACTCACTCAGTCAGTTACTCAGTCATTCACTCTGTCAGTCAGTCAGTCAGTCAGTCACTCAGTTATTCAGACTGTCCCATTGTCAATTTGGTTGGCAGCGATTGCATAACAATTATATGAGTATAGACCAAGCGAGCTGCAGCCCCAATATGGAGGAGTTGAAAATATTTCTGTGGGCCCATCAGTAGGGAGTGCTGGGAGCGTTAGGCCCATTATTTACTACTACTCTTACACAACAGCAGATATGACTAATCATTTGATTTCGTGTGTAAAAGCTATGAAAACAAAAATGCAAAATTGTCGTAAATTTTTTTATGACTCGGGCAAAAGACAATGGATAACAAATAAAATGAAAACAAAAAAGGCAAAAAAAAAAACGGGAGCAATTTGTAATTTATGATGTATCCACATTATGATTTTGGGCCTTAGATAAGATTTTATATGCACACGCATTCTTCATATAAGTATTTACGGCTATTTATCTAATAGATAAAAACAATTAGGTAATTTCTTACCGCTATAAAAAGCTTGATGTCTTCCCTAGGTCAGTTAAAAAATTGCAAACAAATTGGGCTTATTGTAGAAAGTGAAGAAAGAAATGCTATTATCTAAATGCCCGACTAACTGATTCTTAAAATCAATATTTATCTATTTAGAATTATGCGCTGCACTTTCTAAAACTAAAAAGGAAAAAAAATTAATTAACTAATAATATTATTATACTAGAAAAACTTAAGACTTTTTTTTAAATAATTCCCAAATAGGAAATAAATTTAAATTTATATTTTTTCTATTCTTAAAAAATAAATTGCTAAAAAGTAGAAAAAAATATATTATTTGTAGAAAAATACTTTAAAAATTAATTAAAATAGTACGTCTAATCAAATTAAATTATATTAGTTTATAAACTATTCAAATTGTTTGTATATGTATGAAAAATAAGCTGCGCTGGCCTTGGCGCCAAAAGTATAGCAATTTTCTAAATTTCAAAGTGAATTTTATTTATAAGCTATAAGCGCTTTTTAAAACGTGACGAGTACACTGTGCAGACAAGATATAATCATGTTACCATCAATTTATGTCATACGTGTTACTTGATTATTTATTAATAGATATGATTACGCGCTTTGTACCTCGTTCTCTCGCTCTCTCGCTCTCTCTTTCTCTTTATCTCTCTATCTCGCTATCCTTGTCTTTCTCTCTGCCTTCACTGGCTGCAGCTTTAGCATTCAATCCCAGCTCAGGCACGTGCAGTTTGTTGGTTTATTTTTAGCCATTTCTTTGAGTTTGGTAATTTTAAATGGATTTCAATTTATGATTGACATTCTTGAAATATTGATGAGAGTTTGAATGTCAAAAGTGTCTCGGCTTCGAATTTGTAGTGCAGTTTAGTTGTAAAAGTTAGTCAAAAGTTTTTAATATATATTTCTGTAAATTACACATTAAGAAATTTACATTTAGAAATCAGAGTAAGTTGGTCGATTCTGTTCTCGAGCATATTCCATCTATCACATAAGTCCTATTCATTTATCACCTGTCCACAGGTTTTTTGGTCTTACCTCGGATCAACATGAAACAGAGTTCTTGCACAATTGCCTATAACCCAGTTAAGTGACAAGTGGGAAATGGAAAACCTGCACTATCATGCGCTGAAATTGACTCAACAAAAATCAATTCTAACCTCATTCTCAAAACACACACACACACATACACAGAGTGTACACACTGGCAGAGAAGCAGGCAACAAAGTGCCGTTACGACAAGTGCCGCCCCGAGCTTAGAGCCCAAAACGTGGGCGTTGACGCCAAACAATTCAACATGGCTGCAAAAAATGGCGTTGCTTTGGATATTGCTGTTGTTGCTGTTGTTGATGTTGCTGTTGCTTCTGCTGTTGCATGATTGCTTTGTCTGTAACCTACTTGGCTGAAAGTTGCCTTGCTTCTTCAGTTAAACACTTAACACGGCTCCAAAGTGAATTCTTTGCAACATTTTCAACAGGCGAATGTAAGCATGTAAAAGGGGCAGGCAAATAACTACACATCTACATGACTCTAGATAGATATTGTCTACAAATGTGTGTGTTGTGTACTCTCAGACAATTATTAACGTGTTCCTATGAATATCTTTAGAAAATCTCTGTCCTTATATAATACCCACACTCGCAAAAAATCGCCGTGAACTTTTGACAATAACCATACTTTTGGCGTTAAATAAATATTATTAAGTTTATTTCTATATTATATATATTATTTTGTTATTGAACAGATTAAAATATCATCAGTTTGATCAGCCATAGACTTTACTTTATACAGGTTGTAATAAATGCAAATATGTGTGAATAAAAAATAGACTGTTATCTGATTGGTAAGCAACCCAAGCAGGTGTACAAATTTTTGAAAACTATTGTATAAAACTTGAAAATTGTTGAATTACTTTTGAAATATTAAAAGATAAAGCTTCGTTTTATTGACTTCATTATAAATACATGATTCGCTTATGCTCTCAAAAATGAGCGGAAAACTATTACTTTTAATTCTCTTTCATTCACTCAATGAACTGCATATTGGAACATTTTCTTACTTTTATATTTTTGGGAGTTTAGAGGTTTTCTTAAAAATAGATAAAAATATATACCACCCTAGATATTTGTCTCATATTATGTACACCAATTATTCCAGAATTATTATTGATAGTTAGCCCAAGAAGATAATTTATGTAATAAGGATATCAGTCCTATAGCCATTCTAAATAGTACCTTGGCGATCATTTATATATTTATCAGTGTATTGAAAACATATCTTTATTGTTGTCTTTTACAAATCAAAGCCAATCACAACGAATATTTCAATTGTTCGACTGCGAATCAATTAAGATCTCAATCAGCTCAACCATCAATGAACTCAATTTGAGACGTTTTGTGGCACATGGGCACAAATGTTTTGAAATGTTGCTTTTATCGAGACACAACAATTTACACATTCCCATCAACTTGAGCGTTCCGCTAATTAATATGCCAAAATCCAAGCAGCCACACATTGACCTCCATAAGCTGAAATATTTGCTAAGTATTTTGCACTGGAAGAAAACAATTATCCAATCGTCGCTACAATTAACGTGTGGATCACATTTACCGATTGCATAAGCGCATTATAATGAGCTCCAGATTTGCTTTTCCATCTCAGCCGCAAAGCTATAGATAGAGCTAAAGATGTATGGGAAACTTTTCACCCCATAAAAGTTTTAAATTGAGCAGCTTTCAGCGCGCTTAATTGGGAAACAATTAAAAAAGCCATTCGAACTGCTTTTATTAATATATAGTCGACTTTTAAATACCCTTTAGTACAAAACTGAGATGTTGTTAGTTAATCTTTCTTTACACTTTTAGTCTAAAGAAATTAATGAAAGTTTTCGACTAGTTAAGAGCCTGTCCTAAGGCTAGCAAAGTTATTGGAATATAGCTCTGATTTCTGAAGTCTGCCTGTTGTATACATTTTTCAAAAACCTAAAAAATCAGTAAAGGATACTTAACTACGACAACAACAGCTTTACCACAATTTATTTATTATATTATTCTCTTATTCACTTTAATTTTCTATGTCACTTTAATCTCAATTTTAAATTTAATTCTACTTTTGTATTTTTCAAAACAGGGTTTAAAAATTGTTGACTAAATAAATTATTTTAATATGGTATATAATAGATAAGGAAGTGTTCTGATTTTGGTGTGCAAGATATAATTATAATTGTGTATTAATGAGGGGAAAACAAATTTGAATTATGGCACATTTCAGATATGGCTATACATTAAATCGGTCGGCTTAACAATAGTAGGTCATCTGAATTTTGTCATTAAAAGCTCTCATGCTCTTTATTTTTTGTATATACTTAATTTTTTTGTGTACATAGATATATTTATATATATATATATAAATAGTTATGTCATGCCTGATTTGAGTCTATTTACAGTTCACATTAAATTTAAGCCAAATTTATATTTCTTTATATTTTCTCTACTATTTTGCTGTGTATATTCAAAGTAAGCTTTAGCAAAATTTGTATATCTTTATGTTTTTCCCTACTATCTCATATACAAAGTATCTACTTGCTCATTCTGTATACATGACTGCTGAATACCCCAAGGGCTACTGTGAATTCTGATGTTGACAGTTGTATTTTCTGCTCCATTTTGTCATTCTTTTGTGTGCAAGCTGCTACTCGGTATGTGTGTGTGTGTGTGTATATAATTGTGCAAGCATTTTTCTCATATCTCGGAAACTGTCCAAATTTCAAGAGAAAATGGGCAGCAGCAGTTACGAGCTGCGAGCTGCGAGCTGTGAATCCAAACCCAGCCCAGATTGCACCCACAGCTGCAACAGAAAGGTAAAATTGAAACTGAAATTAAAAAAAAGAGGGAAGAAGCAGACGCAATTCAGTTGTGCAAGTGTGCTTGTGTTAGTCAGTGTGTGTGTGTGTGTGTGTGTGTGTGTGTGTGTGTGTATAAGCTGCATCTGCGACACACATGCACACACAACGCATTCACACACACACACACACACACACATAGATACATACTAGCACAGTTTGTTACAATTTTGCCGCAGCTGTGCAAATGGCAAAGTTCAGCCGAGAGACCTGCAAAGAGCCCGAGCAAGAGGAAGACGGACAAAGAGAGAGAGAGAGAGAGGAAGATAGAGAGAAAAGTTACAGTCAGAGAGTGCGCGCACAATGCTGCGTATACTTGATGTTCCACTGAGACCAGCCAGGTGCTCACCAGCAACACACACGCACACACACACACACACACACGCACAGAGTGAGAGCCATTCGCGTAAATCAATCGGATTTTAAGGCAGAACCCACATAAAAAATAAATAGGAGAAGAAGCAAAGCTGAGCCTGCCAACAAAATTAAATCTCACCAAATATATGTCAATAATGAAATGTCCGAATTTTATAAGATTATTTTAGCTTTAGGTAAACTTTTTTATATACCACAGATAGATAGATATAATGTACATATATATTCCATGAGGGTCGATATACCTATGCACTTAAAAAGTTTTGTAAAGGTTAAATAAACATAGAAATGATCGGTAAGCTCATCATTTTTTAGTTACTAAAAATTAATACTCTTCTAGCTTAATTTTCATCTGAAATATATAGAATACTAATTTCTATCATGCGATTTTTTTATTGTACTTCACTTGTTTCCAAATCTTGTATAAGCCCGACAAATATTTAATTATTAATTAAAAAGAGTTCAAAATTTGAAGGAAAGATTTAGAAAACATTTCTTTGTTAAATTTTAAATTAAAATTAAATGATGAAAGAAATTTACAACTTTATTTTTTAAATAGTTTATTAAATATTTATTATTTATGGATTGCATACCTTTTTTTTATGATTAAAACATGTTTTTACTGGCTGTAGGTCAAATGTTTTTTATATTTTGTAAGCTCAAAAATATTTTGAATGCCGTCAGAACTCGTCAAAACTAATAAAGTTAATGTATATAAATTATTAAGCATAAATTTGTATGTACATGAGACTAGTTAAAAAGTAACTAAAGTTCATCTAATTAATTTTAATTTTATAATATTCAATTTGATAATTATTAATTGAATTTGTTCGATTTCTTCCGAATATTATATGGATATAATAATACTGCTGTAATATGCATTACAGCTACACTATATGCTATACATCGATTTGGGTATGTTATATAACAATGCCTAACATTTGATAATCATTTGTAATAAAAAACTGGTGACTTTAGAGATTAATTAAGGTTGGAAGACTGGTTGCGTACCATCATCATCCAGTATGGTTTTCATTTAAAAATCAGCTGATTTTCCACAACAACAACAACAGCAGCAGCTTAGACAACTCGAATCTAAGTTTTCCGACACTCCTCTAACCCAACCACAGAAATTCCCTGTCGCCAAAGTCCCAAACGTTGCAGCAGTACTCAAAGCCACTGGGACCACTGAAACCAGAGCAACCAGCTCGTTAAGTGCAGAAATACACTCAAAAACACACTAACACACACATGCATACACACACACACACACACACACACAGTGAAATAACAATAAGAAAATGCAGAAGAAAAAAAAAGCACAGCCAACTGCTAAAGGGGGTTTCTTGTCCTTCTGCTTCAGGCCCCTCTTTTATCCACAAGCAGAGAACCCTTGAAGTTTGCTCGAGTGTTGCCATGCAAACGTACATTTTATTTAACTGCTAACGTAACGTAACTAAATTACGTAAGGCGTTGAAAACGTTTTCCGCTTTCTCTTTAATTTGCACAACTCAATTGGCATGGGAACAGGGGCACAGCGTCCAATTATAAACTTAAGACTAATTATGATTGAGTTAGATGCCAACAAAATAATAATTACTTGAAAAATAAATGATTAAAGGCCACACTCTGATTTAAATTAATCGTTCGTTGCCTTAACTAATATTAGATGTATTATTCATTGGTTTTTGTATATAAGTCTCAGAGTGACGTAAGAAAATCGAATTTTAGCCCTATGTTTGACAGATGTCAGTTAGCACTGTCAAGTAAGCCATTAAGTAACGGACCAGGGATATGGTATAAAGAACAGAATATATATACGCATATTTATGTATGTATATGGCCATGAGAATCCGTTAGAGAAAGAGTGGGAAAGGGGTGGTGAGAGAGAGAGAGGTGGGTGCATTGCCAATAGCTAGTTGGGTAGCTGAAATGGGAGCGCGCATGCGTTTTGCCATATTGGTAATACTGGCCAGCCAACTAATTGACCGTGAGAACAATTGTTGTTGCACGTAGCTCTAAAGAATTTCAAAGAAATCGAATAAGAGTCTTTGTTTTCAAAATTGTTTCCTTAATTTTGAAGAATTTACAAAACTATTTTGAAATTCTCAATCTTTAAATACCAATACACAAACTGCAAATTTATTTATAATATCTTTTTTTCTAAATTCTATTTATGTCAGCCTGCTTAAGACTCAGTTAAACACTGAAATGATCAGTTATCCCACCTCTTCAGATTACGTCAAGTCAGTCAGAAGATTGAAATGTAATTTAAGAATATAATCCGATCTAAAATGCGAGCAGCTTACATATTTCTCGTGTTTATATTTGCATTCCTAGCTTTATAGCTAAATTCCCACGGTTGACACAATTCCCCGAGTCTAGCAGTTGATTAATGACTTTACTAATTTACTTCAATGACTGTGTCAATTCGAACATTTTTTCCGCTCTATAAATTATTTCATTCAAGGTCTGTTCTGTGTTCTATGCCACTTGGCGTATGCGTTATTTATATAATAATTTCACAAATCCAAAGCTATATATAAAAAAAGCTACAAATGTCAAGCCATTCGTATGCAATTAAAACTGTTTAAAATAGAAAAACAGTTGCGATAGAGAAATTGTTAAAAAAGAAAAGCCTGAACTCAGCGACCTTTTTATCACTCTCAATTGCAAAACAGAAATGTCAAAATGACAAACTTTTCGACGATGGGTTAGAGTTCAACATCGGAGTATAGTGCAGACTTTGGTTGCACACACCCGCAAGGTTGGTCTACGCCACACTCTCTCCACCCAACTTGTAGCTAGATCCAAGAAAATGCCAAAAGTCGTGCATTGTGTAACCGGTGAACAGGAAAGTGGATACACAAATGGGAAGGAGGGCGTGATAGACAGAAGGCTGTCGCTGTTACTTGCCACACCCCTGCCCTTTCTCCCAGAATGCCAATTAGCCAATTGTTTTAGTTGACGTCCCAGTTGACATTTAGCTTTATAATTGTAGCTTTAAATAGGTTCAGATATTTGGAGAAAACAACAACTTTCTCTATAAGCAAAACTTTTGAGCCACATTATAAATTCGTCATATTTATTAATTATATATAATTATTAAAGTTTGTAATTTTGTATTTCAACTATCCATAGTTCTAAAAATGAATGCGAAAATCTGAACAAGAGAGAAAGAGAGAAATTAGGTTCTGAGATAATTCTATATCGAAGGAAATTATAAGTTGAATTATAATGTGATACAGTGATAGTTATTAACCACTAGTTTTGGAATTATAAAGTCTATCCTCTAATCTGTTACATATTTGCGGCCTAAGCCCAAAATGGCTACAAACATAATAATAGCCATACAAATTGTCTTTATGGCTACAAAATTGCGCCGCTTTGTTGTGCACATAAAATCAATTTAATGTCGTTGCGGCGCTTGTAATTTATAATCAATATAATTACTAATTAACTTAGGCAATTACAATATCTACGTTAAATATGTAACTAACTTTTTTCTCTTTTTTTTGCAGCAAAAATTTTACTTTTCTATATTATTTTCTATGCGGCGTTAACCGGATTCTTTGCTGCCATATTTGCGGTGTTCTATCAAACATTGGAAGTTGATAAACCCAAATGGATGCTTGACAATGGATTGATTGGATCGAATCCAGGTACATTTGAAAAGACAAAGAAAGTTAATTGGCATGTTATTTTAAAATCTTTGACTATCAGAACATTTGATTTCTATTTTATTATAAACCTTAAACATTTTTTAAAAATATATTTGATAATAATAATTTGATAAGAAACCAACATAAATTACATAGCATTTTATCATTTGTAATACATATATTTACAAAAAGAATAGCAATTATTAATACAAGTAAAAATTATGAATTAACAATTATTTTCCAACTCAAAAGAAACCTACTTTACTTTTCCTATTATTTTATTATATTTTACTATTATATATATTTTATTTATTTATTTTTTGTTACAGGTCTTGGTTTTCGCCCAATGCCACCAGAGGCGAATGTTGAGAGCACTTTAGTTTGGTACGAATCATCGAAGGAAGATAATTATAAGTATTGGGTTGATGAAACTGCACGATTTCTGAAATGTAAGTACAAATAAACTATATACATATATATATGTTTTCCATGTGACCAAATATTTATTATACCCATTGAAATATTTATTATTTTGATATGTGCAACACATAAATTTGTTTATTAAGTCTTATGCAGTTTTGAAACAACTGCAAGTTTTTGAAAGTGGTTATTAAAGTTTTTAATTTGTATACATTTTTTTTATATGTATATCTATGTACAACACACACACATTTGTTTTTTGTCAATAAACACTAATAAAGATCACAGTAAGTGAAACAAATGTAATTTTTAAAAACACACTATCCCCGGTGCCTAATGCTAAATAAATTATAGACGCTTTTAAACTAATGCCCAATCGCGCATTATAGATCAATATTTAATGGACTTTTGTTATAATATCTTAGCTTACGACGATCTACCCAAGCATAATCAAGTCAACTGCTCATTTGAGCATATGCCACCAGAGGGAAAAGTCTGCGGCGTTGAAGTTAGTAGCTTTGATCCCTGCACTCTTGAGAAAAACTTTGGTTATCACCAGGCAAGGCCCTGCATATTCCTCAAGTTGAATAAGGTAATGTTAATTGCACACTTGTACGATTCAGGTGTGATAATAATCGGTTAATCGGTTTCTTAGATTTACAACTGGGAACCAAAAATTTACAACGATTCAAAAACTTTGCCCGTTGATATGCCTGAAGAGTTGAAACAGCACATCAAGGAGAAGCAGAGCCTGCGACCAAATGAGGTCAGTTTTATACAAAAGAAAAAATAAAAATCAATATTATTAATTTAACAAACATGTACTTATGTTTCCTCTTCCTCTTTTTTTTTTTTTTTTTGTTTATAGACTGGCGTAGTTTGGGTGTCGTGCGAGGGTGAAAATCCCGCCGATGTTGAGAACATTAAGGCACGTGATTATTATCCACGCATGGGTTTCCCCCATTTCTATTTCCCGTTCAAAAACATTGAAGGCTATATACCGCCAATCGTTGCTGTTCAGTTCACCGTCGAAAGTAAGTAACATATTCTGATTAATATTTTGGCTATCCATTAGGTAAATTAATCAAACATAAATATGTCTGAACAAATTAAAAAAAATTAATAAAAAAGTAAGCATCATTTGAGATTTTTAATCCCTAACGTACGAAAATATATAGTGTTGAAGCAACTTACTCATTCAGTTAAATTCCGATAGACATTTTGACTCTGACTATATTTGATACATATTGTACTATCATTATATTTATGGCTTATGGTTTTGGGGTTGTAGTTTGGGGCACATTTCGTATTTAGGTAAATTCTCATATATATTGCATAGACATTTTATTGTATTATCATCCCGTTTGTTGTTTTTCCATTAGTTCAACAAAAATTATATGATACATCTAGAATCAGTTAACGGTGTGTGGTTTCCACCTGAGAGTTAATACAATGGGGAAGACGGTTTAGAATTTGAATAAAACTCAAAGCAAAGGTTTAACCTGGGAGTTCCCTTTCCTTTCCCGGAAGACAAAAGAGCTGCAGCAACCCTAATGCCACAAAAACCATATATAAATGGCAAAAAAAAAGTACAATGAAAAAAAAGAAAGCCAATTTTACAGCACAATAAACCTTAATAATTCCTTGGGTTACAAATGAAGTCGGAGCAGAGGACGGAATAGGAATAAAAAACATTCATTCAGGAAGTGCTCTATTTCTACGGTAAATAACAAAATAATTAATGCGCTTAGCGAACCATTTTAAACAAGATAATCTAGGTTAATAGGATTGGCAACATGTCGGAGCGCATTAAAAACCATGGGGAATGAAAGCTCATTCAACTTTGAAAAGTGTAACTTGAGAATCTTTCATTTCGGCAAGCTGTTTTCTATGGGTATTTGTTGACAACTTTCTGTAACTAAATACTTTCTTGTTCATTCTTATCAATTACTAGCCGGCGTCTTGATCAACATTGAGTGCAAAGCCTGGGCTTACAACATCCATCATGATCGCTCGGATAGGAGAGGATCCGTCCACTTTGAGTTAATGGTCGACTAAGAGAAACGCTATGGAATCGCATCAGTAAAATTCTAAAAGCTACAAGAACAGCAAACAGGATGTGCGGAGAGAAGCAGTAGAAAGCCAGGATCCGTTTGGAGATGAAAGGGAAACAGCTCGAAATAGGCATACAGAAGTAAAGTTGAAGATTAAGATGAAAGTTAAGCAAAAGTCACGCTAAATAAAAAACAGTGACAAAACACACACAAAAATGTAGCAGCAAGCAAAAAGAAGATAAAACCAAACAAAAAACAAGCTAAAGTAATAATAATGCAAAATAAATACAGCAACAACCAAAGAAAAACTAAAACAAAGAGCTACAAGAATAAAAGTAAAAATAAAAAAAAATAAATAAATAACATAACATGACTAAACCTAGCGCTAAAAAGCTAAAAATCTACCCAACGCTAACAAACGCCCCACACACAAAAACACAAAAGAAAATACACAAATAAAACACAACCCACACAAAAGAAAAAATACTTCATTTGTTAGGAGAATTTTATTTAGTTAACAATTTAGGCAAAAAATAGCAAATGGTTAAAATTGGCAAGCCACATAATTTAGCGCAAATATGATATTATAAAAAGAAAAAAAAAAAACAAAACAAAAGAAATTGTTGTTAAAAAATTCTACTTTGTTTTTGGTGTAATTTAATAATAAAGATATAAACGACAAACAGCGCAGCGAACAAAATATAAACAGATGAAAAATGCAGCAACTGTTCTTAACTCAATGAGAAACGTGTTAAATACATAAAAAAAAACATTATTTATATTTATAATATTTAAATAAATATATATAATAATGAAAATGAACAATTGGAATGCATATATAAACACATATGTATACATACATACATAATTACGTACATTGTGAACATAAACACCTCCCAAAAAGAAAATGAATAAAATAAAAATAAACAATAAATAAAAAACAATTTTCACACTAAGCATACCTATATAATTTGTTTAAATTTGTTATAAATTTAAACAGACCGCATTAATCCATAAACAGCAAGAGCAAAGCATAAAAAACGTGTTTAACTACAAATTTCTAAAGTAAAAAAATTCATAAATGTAGATTTTAAATTAAAAAGTGAATAGGATGGTAAACTGCAAGGCAAAAGCAAAAGACAGATAGACACAAAACTAAGAAACGTATAAAATGCAAGAAGAAAAAAACCACAACACATTTAAAACTAATACTCTTCACTTATTATGAAAACCCAAAAAAAAAAAAACAAGGAACAAAAAATAAACAAGATCATTAATGTGAAAATTGCATGAAGATAAAACAAGAAAATATACAAAAAAAAAAACAAAAAAAAATTAAAAAAAAACATAAATAAAATATAAAATAAATGAGGCAAAAACACATAAATATAGCTGAAAGTAAAGTACAGAGTAACTGGTTACAATAAAAAACAAAAAGAGTATATAAAATTAAAAATATATTATGTATACAAAGAATCCCCAAAGAAAGATAAATAACAATAAAAACGAACTTAATTTAACTAAATCAAAACCCTACCTTTTCGATATCACAATTTTCAACAGCCATCCTAGCAGACAAGGGCGATCCACGACAGCTTCTACCGAAACTGAGAAAGATGGCAAAAAAGGGAATGAAAGAGAAAGACAACTAGAGAGAGAGAGAGACAGAGAGGGAGAGGAAAAGAGGAGCTACAGTTCCCTCAAACAGATATAGATAAAGGATAACAGACAGACCCAAAACACACACCTAACCACACTTTTGAGTAATCTTAAATCAAGGCGTTTTGTTTGGGATTTCATTTTCGCATACATTTCGTCAAATTTTAAGACGAGCAAAATTTCAAAATGAAAAATAAACAAATGGTGTGATTCTGCAATTTTATTATTTTAGCTTGCATTGACTTTAAGGACAACTTCATGTATAGGCCTCAACTAGCTTAACAATTTTCTCGCTCTCTTCAGTCCTAGCCCCACCCCATAAAAAATTCAAAGAAACAAAAACCAAAAAAAAAAAAAAATACAAAAAATATAAAATCGAATAAAAAATATAAGCTAAATCTCTTAAATGGCATACCAAGCTTTATAACTAACCCCCTTTTACCATCCACTTAACTAGTGCTAGTCTAAATGTAAGAAGCAGCAACAACAATTCAAGAAAGCTAAAAACAAAAATGATTAAAAAATTAAACATGAAATGTTACAGTTTTGCTACACATGCAGCAGAATCGCTAAATAATAGTTTAAAGGAAAATGTTATACTTAAATATATATTATAAATATATTATTAACAACTAATTACTTTTATTAAATGAATTTCAAAACTAAAGTAAAGCGTACGAAAATTCCGATCACAGTTTCCAAATGCAAACTGGGCCCTCGGTTTGCCCAGAAACCAAGATATTTTGGCTGCTATCAACTTATTTTCCATAATTCTTCAATATTTTCAATTTTCAACATAATTTTGCATTTAAAATTTTCTTGATAGCCCAAAAGGTATTTACTGGTTCCTGGAAATAATACATTTAATTTTAAACCTTCAGTTGAATAAAATTTATGAAAATGTGTTTAGCAACAAATTTTAAATAAATATAATTCCACAGGCAACCAACAAATTGTTTACTAAATAGTTTTTTAACATTTTCTAGTGCTTGTTTTCCTATAAATCAAACAAATGAAATACAAGAAAGGAAGAAAAAAAAAAACAAAAAGCAAAAAAAAAAAAAACGAAAACAGAAAAAGAATATAATAACTAAAGCAATTAATTAAGTAGTGAACAAAATGCTGCAGTTTGCAATAAACAAACATGAGTTGTGAGATTCACTTAAATTTTACTTGGTGCAGTCACGGGCAGCCGTAAAACATAATAAATAAATTCCACTCGGCTAGCTATTTAGCAATTTAAATTTATTTTGCCAAAATTTCGAATTCAACGCACAAAAAATTCCACATTAACAATTGTTATCTTTTTTTTAATATCATTTTTGACCTGGGCAAAGTGTGTTCCCAAAACCGCCGATAAATATTAGTAGTTTATATAGGGTAACAAAAGCTATAAAATATAATATTTAATGAGAATAAAAAGAAAATAATATATAATATATATATAAAAACTGCCAAGTAAATGTTTGACCCTCTAGCGCGTGTATTCAAATTATGAACTACGACGAAATTGGCACTCGAATTTTGTTTTTGTTTTTCTTTCAATTCCCTATGGCATTTCGGTTAAATAGTTTTGGATCCAAAAATGTGGCATACTTTGCACTTATTAGCATGCGGCAACTACTAGAACACACTTGATAGAGCATATTTAACAAGTATACGTATATTGATATATATGTATAAACTGCCATTTTAACACCAAGTGTATAAAAAAAAACAAAAACAAAAAGACAAAAAACAAACAACAACAAAACTCTTTTGTGTGTAAACAACAACAACAACTTTCGTAATCAGCACAAGGCAACTACAATAAATGTGAATTAATTCTCGAAATGATTTAAGACATACAATCTACACATATTGCTAAAAACAAAAAAAATGTAAAGCGAAAACATTTAAAAATTTCAAACATATTTCGCAGCTTTGACAACACTAAAGCTGATGCCGCTGCTTTTTAAGTAATCATTTTTGAATGAAATAAAATATGAATATCATTCAGCTTACAAATGTGGCAGTTGTTTATTACAAAATATTTAATCAAATATATTCTCAACACCTAATGACAAAAAATTATTCAAATCAACTCCAGTTGCGCTGTTACGACTGAGTTTTTATGTTAAACCACTGCCACGCCCACAAGTGGGTAAAGTATTCCACAGATTTCAGTGTGAAGTTTGCAATTTTTGGATCACAATTTGCCCGAGACCTCAAAGACCTCTCACAACACGTGCAAATTGCAGCGCATTATTAGCAAAAGAAAAAATAATAATAATTTAATTAATGAAGAAAATGTTTTAGAAAAACTAACAGAAAATATAGCTGGCAAAAATTGGTTTAGACATAAATATATATATAATTTGCAAACCCATTTGGTTATAGCAATTACAACAAAAGTATTTATTATTTACAATTATTATATATATAGAACTAAGAGATCTAACATTACGGTATACAATTATGTATACACACATATGTTATATAAATGGTAAAATATGAAAGGCAGCATGTAAACTAATAATTAAGTACGATTACAAGCATATTTTAATTTACAACAATTAACCAAATTAGTAACGAACAAATTCATAAGCATTGCAGCCGAAACTTGCTGTTGGTCAAATATTGAGCCTGATCCTGAACAGGACAGGTCACAACATGTATCTATTTTAGTTGGCGAATTGTAATTGTAGTGCAATTTACAAGATTACATTTTCAATTACAATAACAAATAACAATAACAACAAAGGCAATGCATAATTGTACCAAAAGGCAGTCGATTCAAATAATAATATTAAAAACGAAACAATAAACACAGTTCATTTGCCCTGATTTCAACATTTATTTCAAGTGTAACAAGAACCGAACAAGAAAAACCTAACAGAATTGCTTTAATTTAGACTTAAAAGTGAAAATTATAGATAAAAAGAACCTTCATAAACAAATAAAGATCATGGTAAAATTAAAAAAAAATATATATATTTATGTGTAACAAAATGAATGAAAAACAAATACTGCTTTTGTATTGTTTAAGTTTAACTATAAATCAATGACAAAGTTTAAATATTAAATTAAAAAAAAGAAGAAAAACATAAAATGTAATATTAAAAAATGAACTTACGACAAGAAAGTAACTGAACATCAACAAAAACAACAACAGAAGCTTCATTAACATTGATTAAGTCATGTATGAGTAACAAAAACGAGAAACTGTTTGAAAAATTTTACTGAATTCAATAAAAATATTATGTTGATATGGAATTAAGTAATTCCAAATAAACAAAAGAGCCGGTGCATTTTAAGTGGTGGTCTAAAATGAATAGAATTATATGTGCGAAATCAAAATCATCAAATCTAAAACACAAATTTAAAATTTTTGAAATTGTTCAACATCTAATGAAATTGCATATATTTCAATTTGTAGTTTTTAATTTTTCTTTACAGAAAATTGGGATTTTGAGAAATGACAAGTATTCCCTTATTGGAATTATGTAAATCTAAAACCTAATTTATGACTTATGACTAAGCGTATTCACCTTATTAGAAAAACTCATTATTTTTCATGTAATGAGCTTATCACTTTTATTTGTTAATACAACTTTTAATATTTATTGACATACTTTATTATTATAAATATTATATACTTTATACTATCTTTTTAGCACTGTATTCGCACATAGAAATGTGATTTTAGTCACCATACACACCCAATTTATTGGGAATTTTTAAAAATGTTTTATTTGCTCTTGAGGCGATTCGTTTAGAAATAAGCGTTTATATTCATCTATGACAGCTTACACATTTATGTGTGTTGTATGCAAATCCGCTGGACTGGTGCGACTTCACAAGCTTTTATTCCCAAATTTCGACATATTGTACATAATAAAATTGTTGAATTAGTGCGGCACTTTTGCTACAAATTCTCTTATAGCTACTGTTTCGTACCGATATATCGATACGAAATGTGTTGCTGCCTATCGTTTGGCCACCACTTACTACGATGTATTTTAAGTTCAAATCGCCATATTTATGTGTTAATTTGTTAAGTCAATACAAGAATATATATTTTCAATAAATAAACAATTAACTGATAATTTTATTTCAACTGAATGACTTAGTTGTTTATTTAACATACGTCAACATAGATGCCGGCCTTGTGTTGAAATTATTCCACGTACACCTTATTTGCCATTCACTACGAATTAGGAAATCTTATATACATATATATTATAATACAATGCTTGAGATGTTTTATTAAACTTAAAGATGTCATTGTATGTGCTCAATAAGCTCATGTATGCATGAAATGTAAATAAAGTAAATGACTATTTGAAAATACCTGCGGCAGAATATCGAAACATATTACAATTTTGTGTGAATGTCGATATCAGTGATTCGATGAACCGGAACGAACCAGTACAAATTACTCCAGACCGCGTCACTTTTTTCTGTTTTAAAATAACTTAAAACGTGCATAATTATTAAATAAACGCAGTGCGCTGCACCAAAATACACCATTTCACATCACTACAATAGCAAAACATTTGAGCACACCGTCCAAAATAACGGTGAAAACAGCAAAAGGAAGAGGATTGTAGAAGCGGCGTGCAAAAAAAGGACGCCGACACCAAAAAAGAAGAAAACCCGAATTCCACACACAAATTCCTTGGCACAGTTGTAAAATATGAGCAAAGACATTTACTACTCGGATAAATACTACGATGAACAATTCGAGTACAGGTGAGTACAAATGCAAGACAAGAAAAAAGCTTGCATTTAATTCTGCAATGATCGATGTATGTATGAATGTGTGTGTGTATGTATATATTTATGTATAAACTATCATTGCAGACATGTGGTCTTGCCGAAGGAGCTCGTCAAGCTGGTGCCCAAAACGCATCTGATGACAGAAATGGAATGGAGATCAATTGGTGTACAGCAATCGCGTGGCTGGATCCATTATATGATACATAAGCCGGAGCCGCACATTTTGCTATTTCGACGTCCCAAGACGGAGGAGTAGGCGAACAATAAACACACAACACACTCTCTCGCAGACACTCTCGTTTACACACACACTACGCACATACACACACACCAACACACACACATGCACAAGCAGCGCTCAGTTACAGCTGACGTTTGCGGAGCAGCTGCTGCTGCTGCTGCGACTGCGACTGCGCAAATGGTGGTAGCTGCACAACTGTTGCGGCGACGGCTTATTACCAACAAATGCAACAACTACAACAAATGCAACAACTACAACAAATGCAACAACTACAACAAATGCAACAACTACAACAAATGCAACAACTACAACAAATGCAACAACTACAACAACTACAACAAATGCAACAACTACAACAATTGCAACAACTACAACAAATGCAACAACTACAACAAATGCAACAACTACAACAGCAACAACTACAACAGCAACAACTCCAACAACAACATAACCCATCCAAAACAGTCGGCACACACCTCTACATCATTTTATTACACTTCCCATTCACTGCTTTAGTTTTCGAATTAATCCGCTTTTGAATACTTTTTATGAATTACACATTTTTACGTTGCCATATGTTTATATATATATATATTATTGCCGTATATGTATAGTTGAGATTGGCATACTTTGTGAGCAAATTGGCCACCTTAAATTTGCATTCCGTTTTTCTTTTTTGTCTAGCCTTCAATTGTATTATTTGCCCTTTACCATCTCGAAACGCGATATGAAAATTGCCAGCACATTTTCACTTTAATATTAAAGAAAATATATGACTTGTGATCTTGAAAATTTTAATCAATACATAATGCATACGTTTAAACATAATATAAACTTATAATAAAATATATTAAAAAAAAAAAGAAAACAAAAATAATAATAAATATATATGTAGAAAACTTTTGGCGTTGATTGCTTGAAGTTATTCAATACCCAATTTCAATATTGTTTTCAATATATATCACTATATAATTTATTTAGAAATCAACTTGAAGTTAATTGGAACTTTCAGTTATTGGCAAATTTTCGTTTGTCAATCCTATATTTCAAATATTCAAATATGAGATACATAAACTACGTAACTGAAAACATTTATACATTCGATTATATTGTTTATATATAGGATTAATATTGCAGCCATTTTTAATATTGTAACCCACTTCCCAAGTTTAGCAGCTAAAGAAGAACAAAATCATTTCCAATTAACTTTTCATATTTATTTTTAGAATTATTCATATTGTTATTAACTGAGATGAGTATGAAAAGTTACCTGACTAGTTTTGTTTTTATGTTTACTGCTAATTTTGGCGATTTGTAATGCAAACGAACTATACGGAAAGGCAATGAAATTAAATACCTCTCAACAGTTTTGTGTGGGTAACATTGATAGTGTTCAATAAGTGATACACTTGTTAAATTAATAAATATTTTCATATATTGCAGTGTACGGCATACAACACCCGGAAAAGCATTTCCGTTTGCTATTTAGAAATTCCTAAATTTGATATGCTCAACTTTTTAACTGACAATAAACAATTGCCACTAAATTTGTAACTGATAGGTGATTTCTATTATTCTTTTTATTTTATTATTTTTGTGAAAGCATTTGTCTTCTGAATTTTACAGGAAAGATTCAATAACACATAATATTGAAACTTCAATTTTGTATTTTATAAATCTAGTCCCCAGGATGGCAGCTCTGTAATTGGTTTTATTTACGTCGGATGAAAATCGTGGAAAACTGTTGAATTAAGTATTTATTCTTTTTATTCAATCTGTTTTAAGCTGAACTTCTGATGGGTAAGACAACAAAAGAATATATATTTTATTTTATTTTATATATATTTTAGATGTGCATTTCCGAAGTCTCAATGATAAGTCGGTGAAAACTCGCGTTGATATAGCCAAAGTCGTCCGTCACTGAATCCCTTCATCTGTTTGTATAAAAGTGTCGATTTCAGTTACTACGAAATTTAGGATTTGGAATAAGTGTTCTCGCATAATATATCTGACCTGTCTTTGAGTCCACAAAGTTGAAACACATTTTTGAAGTAATTTCTTATGATACTTTCCATATTTTGCTTATATGTTTAATCTAGTCAAGTACTCTTTGTTCCTTATTTTTATGACCATTATGCAGAGTAAAAATAATGTTAACTCTTATAAATACCGAAGCGGCCTTCTTTTGTCCAATGTCTAAACATATGTCGCTATATATATACGGATAAAGATGTACATATATATATAAGTATTTGTACAACAATAATTCACTGTTTTGTTTTTGTAACCCATTGACGTTCAAGTATACAAATGTATATAGTGTGCTCTATCTATATATATATATATATATATATATAATGATATATTCCACTTTCAAAAATGAAGATCGACAGTTCCGGTAAAAATGCTTTGGCACGTTTTCGAACACACTCGCATGCAGTGTGTGTGTGCGAGTGTGCAGTGTGTGTGTGAGAAAGAGCTGTGCCGTGGACAAATGCAAGGGTAGCTCTGCTGGTTATGAATTCACCACTGAAGGGAAGGGAAGGGACTACGACAAAACGCTGTCAACAATGGCCATTTATTCACAGTTAGGCCCTGCCACTTAGACGCAGTTATAAAATAGCGACAAAAATCCCCGATACGGTTATTTGTAGTTACACTTTTTTTTGTAATTTTATTTTACGCTGTTTGCCGTGAGTATTGTGATTTTCTCATGAAGTGTGTAATCCATTAAAACTCAGACCCAAAAATTGGATATATTAAAGGAGACGAAAATATTTGACTTAACTTCAGATGAGCTCTCCAAAATTCAGTTTATTTCAATTATTTCATAAAATGTTATGAATCGTGGTTAGTTAGTCCTTTATGAATCTGGGTAGATATGTACATATATATATAAATTTCTTGATCAGCACAAAAAACTTAGTAAAACTAGGTCTCCATCAGTTGACATATATAATAATAAGATATGGCATGTGTACAAAAACAATCAATATTGATTTATTGTAGAACAACTTTACTCAATCCGAAAGATCCCTTTTATTACATTATTTAAATCCATTCTTTGCCAAACAATTAGAAATCAATCATAAACTTCTAATTTATGTAATTTAGCAAAACTAACAAATATAGCTGAGGGCAGTTGGAGTCCGTTTTGGCAAGGGTATTTTAGCATCGGTGTCCCGACTGCTGGCTACTCTTTCTTGTTTTTGTATTTCCCACCAGCGTGGGCTGTTTGGTGTCGCCAACGGTTGTCCAGCAGCAGAACTAGCCCCCAAGGCAAATCGAATTGAAACAGATCAAAGGCAGCTGTGGCACTGCAGCTGTGCGCCGCTGATTTTTATTACTATTTATTATACGATATGCGATACGAGAGTATCATCATGAGCAAAGGCGGAAACCACTAATTGCAAGTTCTTTGTTATTATACTTAGCACGAGTTAGCTTAACTTTCTTACGAGCGCCCTAAAATGTTAATGGTGTCTAAGGCAATAAGACTTGGAATTTGATTATGACCAAGACTTAAGTTTGAAACAGATTTAATTTAATAATCTGCAGTTGCAGAAGATCATTCCATTATAATTTAGATATTAACTATGTGATTTAACCTTATGCAGATTGCTTTTGTATCCTAAAATAGATAAAAATAGGTATTATTAAGAAATGCAAATAAATATGCAGTAAAAAGCATCTTCTCATGTATATAAATTCTCGATCAGCATTAAAATAAGTTGAATTCCCCTTTTAGGTGGTTACCATAAAAAGAGTCCATATTAAATTAAAACTAAGATTTTAAATATTTTATTAAGCTGGGTTTCCATTATTATTATACAAAAAAAAAAAAGTATTTTGTAAAAACTATGAAATGTAAAATATCCATTTGTTTGCCTCAAAAATGTAAATATTTTCGACAGAATTAGCATTTTTAATAAATTATAATAATTGGATTATGTGCACAAAATGAACTGTAAATCAGTACAATGAGTCAACAAGAAAGCAACAAAGGAATTTCTAAATTAAGTGTTTTTCTTGTTGGATATATATGAAAATGGATAGTCGGGATAACGCATATTATATTCACATTCTCAAGGTATCGAATCATTCTCTGGACTATCTCTATATAGCATATAATTTTAAGGACACTAGTTCTTCTCGCTGTGGATGTGACTGAAACAGTTGGCAAATAATGGATGTTTAGTGTGAGTATATTTTATATAATATATAATAATTAACTTATCTAGAAAATTGAGTCTTTAAGTTAATTGAATAATTGCAGATTATCTGCCTGAGGCTGAAATTAATAAATGATTTTCCAGAATATTTAAGAGCTTTCTTTAGGATCGGATGAGAATATTTATTTTATTCAGTATTCAATGCATACGATATATGTTTAAATATAGAATTGATCACAATCAAAAGCCGAGACTATCTAGCCATTTAAATAAATTGAACTTTGAGCAAATTTCCTAATTTTCCTAAATTTCTCAGTTTCATTATTAAACATGATTAATAAATAATTATTTACTATTTTGCTCTTTCTATGGGTGTTCGATGTGTTACATTATGATCTACAAATCCTGAAAAATTGTATTTATTTAATTAAATATATTAACTGATATTATATATATATTAGACTGAGAATTCAACCAAAGTACTCATCTTAAGAGTTAATATATTAAAATACTCTGCTTTCCAAATTAGTAATGTGCATTTTTGATTTAAATAACCTATAAGCATAAATTATATGGAATCATACAAATTGTTAGCTATACGTTGAGTTCCCCTCGTTCTATTTAGTCGGTAAACAATAGCCAGCTGATCAGAGCTTCAATATACAATGTGGAATCTAATGAAAAGAGTGCGCAAGGAAGTAGGCGATAAAAGTGGGCGACACCAAAACACTGAACTACTTTCGAACGGAAAGGTGCGCGTTGAAAATCTTGAGAATTGCGTATAAAAATAATGAATTCCCTTCAGAATTCGCCTGTCAAAAGAAAGCGAAACTAAGCAAGAACAAGTCAGCTAATTAAACGATGCTGCGAAGCGTCGCCAGTAACAGTGGCAGTGGCAGCGGCAGCAGCAGCGGCAGAGACAACACGTCGTATGAGTTACGTGTGCAGTGCATGCAGTTGATAAGCAGCGCATCGACTGAGACGGCGACTTCGACGTCGACGCAATTGATGAATGAAAGTAATCCAACACCCGAGCACACCCATACACACACACACACACACATACAGATATGAGTTGTGCTGTCGACGCGATGGCAGCGCAGTCGCAGTTGCAGTCGCAAAATTTTGCGCGCTCGTTGGCTACGTTTCGTATTTGATTTTGATATAGTTTTTAGTACTATTTTATAATCAGGCAAGCCAAGTTGAGTCGTGTTCTGTTCAGTTCTGTTCTGTTCTCCTCGCTCTCTCACACAGCCCAGTGTTCTGTGATCTACGATCTACGAACTGCGAACTGCGAACTGCGATCTGCGGTCTGCGATCAGTCGTGCCATCGTCGCGTGCTCGACAACAGCAAACAAATAGATACTTACACTTGACTCGCGTTCTACTCAGTTACATAGATACATACATATGTACTATATGAATGTATATCTCGTGTGCCCACAATCAACTGAATACATATTCGATTAACCGAAAGGGTTCAACACTTATGCATTTTTATGCAAATTTTGGTCAGGCTGCACTTAATTTCATGCACTAAGTTGTAAGTGTAATAAAAAATGTATATTTAAGGCATCTAATACCAAAATAGAAGGAATTCAATGATCAAGATCATGTCTATATGAACAAATATTTAAAAAAAAAAAAAGATGAGAAAATGTGCAGCACTTTGTGTAACAAGTGAATGAACAATATTTGACATACAATTTTCTTACATAAATAAATGCATTTCGTTCATATTTTCTGCTATTAATTTTTGTTTCGAATTTTTTTATGCATTTTAGTTGGGTAAGTAAAAATGTTTCCTTGTACACATATTATATATTGAAGTGTTAAAAATTATTGGCAAAATTTCAAATTATTACCCTCAAGGATATACAAAAATTGTATTAGAAATCTTAGGAATGAAAATATGTGTTGTCCCAGGCATATCTTTCTATTATTTATTCATTTTTGTTTTTCGCCCTTGAAGAGGTTTTCAAATTAACGTGCTAGTCGCAAAAATCAGATTAAAATATTATAAAACTTTTGTGATTGTGTTTATTTTATTAAGCGCAATAGACAAGTTTTCGTCAACTAAAGATGGATTAAAAAAGTAAAAACTAAATTATAAAAATATTTAATACAGAAGGAAACATCTCCGAGCGCATCAGGCATATTCTTGATCAGGATTCAATAATCAAAATCAGAAAACTGTTTATTAAATTACTAATAGAAACAACTAAGCCAATGGAACATTTTCTTTAAACTATTCAATATATTTTGTTCATTTCATGAAAAATTTAATAATAGAAACAACTACCCTGTTGAATAATAAATTATTTCTAAAATGTATTAACTATTCCATAGTTCAGCACATCATGTGATTGTGATTATTTTGTTAAATGCATCGATTTTCGCTTACTGAGCTAAGAGAGAACGTTAGAAAATTCGATTGCTGCTGCTGATAAGCCCATCTGCCGCACCGTCTGGTCGTTGAAAGGGCAGCGGGGCACGGGGAATCCCGTGCCGTAGGTCCAAGGCCCTTTACCCTTTTTTTAAGGGTAGGCCGCACTTCATTTTGCATGCACCGCAAAGTTTTTGTTTGTTTATTGCTTTCTATTTTGTATTTTGTTTTTGTTTGATTTTGATTTTTGTTTCTTTTATTTCGTATTTTTAGCCGGTGATACTATTTCTGCTGCAGATTTCTCTTTTGTTTAAAAATAGTTGCATGGGTTTATAGTATTCAGAGTGTCTTACTTGATATGCGCTTTAAATGTTTTTACAAAATTTGCTTATCATGTTTGTAGATTGATTAAATTATAGCAATGTCAAAATCACAAACAGTCGTAGACATTTATAGCTAGTACTCTAAGTCTTGAATATATTATTGTATAATATATTTAATTAAATACAAAAAAGTTTCACATTGTTAAAAAAAAATGTAGGTAAGACAAGGAAATATCTGAAACTCTTTAAGGAATTTATGTATTCCATCTGTCAATTGTCGAAACGATCTTGAAGGTTATATGATAAGTAAAAAGATATTTTTATATGTTCTCAAAAATCACATTGTTTGGCTACAAGTTCTACAACATTTATTTCTTGCTTACGAGTTTTATTATTATATATTGAATTCTAGTATTATATATAGTATGTAATTAGGGGTGCTTTAAAGTCAAGTACCTCTCAATTGTAGACCTCTCCAAAAAGATAGAATTACAATTAATTGTATATAGTATGTCTGTAGATAAGGAATATTTACAGCAGGTCTTCCTGTAAAGCTTTTATCAACCATAAATAAATAAAGCACTAATTAATAATTTAAGAAGCTAGTATAAATATATATATAATTAAAATCGAACAACTTCAACAGTTAACAGGGTATACAAATAGTATAGACTAGCATAGAACTATCTCAGACTTTATAATTAAATCACCAATTAAGTTGACATAATCTAATCATAAAGGCACTTAATAGAAAAAATAAATTATTTCCACAGTAGGTAAATATGAATCACAATTGCCATTATGATTTTGAAAATGTACTCGTATACGTATTTAGTATGTATTTCGTGCTTTATTTTTCTATTCTATCGACTCAATGCCAGCTGGCTCGTTGACAAAGATCGAGTGAATGAATGAGTACTTACAGAAGAAGAAAATACTAAGAATCTCGGTGTGGATGCTTTTATTAATTGGGGCAAAAATTTGAACCTAAATCAAAAAAAAAAAAAAAAAAAAAAATACATAGACAGGCAATAAACTTGTAGATACATACGAAGTTAATAAATATCAAATATATAGGTGTGCATCCAAATATCGAGAACAGTACATGATGATTAAATTACTGGACACGGCTTTACGTAACATTTTTCAAATGCTCTTTGGAAAGTGATTTCACTTGATATGAACAACTTGTAGCCGGCAGTAGTTTGGATTCGCAGCGTTAGATGCAAATAGTAGTTATTCATTGTCAATTGTCTGGGTACACAAATTGATTTGCATTTCAAAAACAACAGCGACACCAACAACGCCAATAACAACCAACAACGTGTAGGAGGTCAGTCTCATTTGTTGTCTTGTTGAGATCGATGAATTAATTAAAATGCCGTCACATACTATAAATACTTGAAATAACCGCCTATAGTTAATGCTCAACAAATATAACTACAATTAAGTTTTGAGTTAGTTACCTTAAGTTTAATTATATGACCTTTACCGGAAAACCAGAAAGTTAATTTTGTTTCAACAACGACCATTAAAATATAATTTCATCTCGAAAGCTAATATTAAATTTTTATAGTTTTCTAAAACTTGGCAAAACGTATTTTGATTTATATTATTATAAGAAGAACTTAATATTTATTCTTATAAAATTTATTTATCCATCTATATCAACTTCAAAAATTAATATTTAAAAAATAAATAATATATATTAAACATATATTCATTAAAACCATGTTATTGAGAATTCTGTTCTTCTAAATTGAGGATGCAATAATTTCCCACATATTGCTAGCAAAATAATTAACAAGCTATATTTTGTGCTGAGTGTTAAATGTTGATAAAAAAAAGGCACTTTTACAACAATGCCAAGTGTAAATATTCTTTATTAATCAATTCGAATGCAAAAATGCATATCTGCTCATCAGTCTGGTTGTTCAATTAAGAGCTCTCCCGACAATTCGGATCAGTTTACTCATAATCATCCCTATTATTTGGCATTGATCGCAGTCATTACTTTTCATTAGGTGGTCGAGCTATGTAAATTTATTTGTTTGACACGCGTATACCAAATATATTTCTCAATTACACACAAAGCAACAATCAGCAGAGATATATTAATTGAGCTGCATTCGCAAAACGCATTTAACACATTTCCAGAGAAATAAAATGTGTAAAATCTTAATTGATGACAAATAGCATTGAACACAGCGCACATTGTTTGGTTATAGTTATTCAAAGAGTTTAGTTTCATATCTGCTCTATCACCATGATGCAATAACTCTGAACACCTAATTATATTCACGTGTAACCTTAACGTTTTGTTATCATAGATTGGCTAGACAAAGTTGAGTCTATCACAATGTGAATACTATCTACATTTATACATATATATATATTTATATGTATATATATTTCTCTTTCAATATTTAATTAATATTAAGAATAATTATTTTATCTCGTTTTTATTTTGTAGACGATCAAAGCGTCGAATTACTTGCTAGTTGGCATAGTTGGGCCCAAGTCTAACTGAAACCCATATCTGGTAAAGCGACCCGTCCGTGTGTACGGGCCTAGGGTAATATCCACACACACAGAGTCACAATGACGCGACCCAAGCAGGATGCGAACAAATTCAAAAGCTTTTTGCAGGAGAATGTGCTCACAATGGCCACCGTGATCGGTGTGTTTGCGGGCGGTCTCGTTGGCTTCATTATCAAGAACAGCACCGGCGAGTGGACAAAGCGTGAGATAATGTATATATCATTTCCGGGCGAGATATTTTTGCGGTAAGTTGTCTTGTTGACTTTAACCGTCTCTATTTAATTATATGTTACACAATCTTACAGCATGCTCAAGTGTCTCATAGTGCCCTTGCTGGTATCATCCATAACAAGTGCTATTGGTGGACTGGATCTGAGCATGTCCAGCAAAATAGCGACGAGGTGAGTACTCTTATTTAGTTGCTTGGCATTTTTAAAATACATCTTTCGATATTTCCAGAGCCATCACATACTACTTTGTCACGACCATTTCGGCAGTTATTTTGGGCATCTGTTTAGTCACAACCATAAGGCCCGGCCAGGGTGCCAAAATTGTGGAAACTCGCACGGAGACCATTGATAAGGCATCAAAAGTGTTGACGCCAGATACATTAATGGATTTAGTGAGGTAGGTAATACAAAACGATCTGCGGCAGAATATTAAATTGTTTTTCTTTCATTGCGCAAACAGAAATATGTTCACCGACAACATCATACAGTCGACCATGTTTCAGGTATGTATGAGAAAAGACAAAAGCAGTTTGAGAAGAAATACAACTGGAAAGATAATACGCTTTAAAAAACAAAATAAATTAATTTGTAACACGTTTTTTGTGATAGCATTCGTACAAGAAGTGCACGAAAGCAAAACTAGATTAACATAAAAAGTCTGCTTGTCACAAATTCAAAATTATATCGAATCTCTGTGAAAAGTAAGCAACTGCAATGAGATCAATGATGAGAAATCGAGAAAAGGTTTAGATGCAGAATCGCATTCTTATCTGCCTCGATGGAAACTTTGTGCAGGGCCAGGTATTCAGATACATTTTATTTTATTTTTTTTGCTGAATTGATGATAGCACAACACGCATTCGTTTAATTTATGATTGCAACTGCGCCAATTATTCAATTGTGTGCTGTTGTTTACATAATTTGGATTTAAGGCACTACGCGGCATATAATCAAAACCGCCATGATAGGTTACTCCAAAGCAAAGTTCTTTCCGTTTCAATTGAAAATGGAAATGATAGGGGGACCAGACATATCTGCATGTGTCTGTCTATACATGCTTGTGTATATGTATAAAAAATACATATCTAATTTACGTACACGTTGAATTTTCAACTACAATATATGCCAAGTATAATATATATATATTTATATGTATATGATATTTGTATATATATATATATACTATAATGTCATCGCGAATTGAAGCAAAGTGTTCAACTCGCCTGTATTTATATGCATATTTCTGTGTGTTTATCTATACAAACAAATAAGACTGAATATTCATATGCACAATTAGATTATTGTCGCTGTGAATTGTTATTGTTGATATATATAAATCGTATAGGATGTACGATCTCCAAATTTTCTGCTACTCATTTAGATACATTTGATTACAATTCTACATTCAAGAATCTTTGAATAATGCACTTTACATGTCTATGTCAATTGACCTAAAAATAAATGTTACTCAACCTACATTTATTAGTTGGTTTAATGATCTTTGAATATAGTCCCATTATATCCAATCTTTGAGTGGAACCTCACTATTGTCTTAATATAGTTCTGTGTGAGAAAACTCATTTTCAAACAAGTCCAAGACAAATTCGAATGATTTCGGAATGAGATGAGAACAATAAATAATCCTTATTATAAAATTTAAAATGTATTAATTTTATATAGTTATAATTTGTAATTGTAATTTAAAAATGTTAAATGGTTTTTAAAAGTTGTGGACTGTTTTTAATCCTTATTAAAAATACTAATAAACAATATATAGATAATAATTATAAATTGGGAAGATATTGGATGGTGGAAGGTGGAGATATTGGATGGTGGAAGGTGGAGAGTTAGTATAAAGGCGATCGAATATCAATTCGAAAGATGCAATTAAACTGAAATAAATTTATGAATTTGCTAACTGATTTGCAACAACTGTTATTATAATTTTACTAGTTATTCATTATTTGATTAAAATTAAATGTTAATCAATGGTAATAATATCTTTGCAGCACCGCACGGAGATATTTGAAAACACCAGTATTTCTCCAGCACGTAAGTAAATTAAAATGTTGAGTCTGGAATGACTTAATTAATTCTTTGATATTTATTTATTTAATTTTGACTAATTTAAAACTTAAATTAATTAATTCAAAATATGCATATTGAAATATATATATATATACTTTTTTCATTTCAGAGCCCATGGAGAATTGGGAGTTTAAGTCTGCACAGCGAGAGGGTTCCAATGTGCTGGGTCTGGTCATGTTCAGCGTAATTCTGGGCACAACAATTGGTCGAATGCGGGAGAAGGGTCAGCTGCTGCAGGACTTCTTTACAACACTCAGTGAGGCAATGATGACCATAACATCATGGGTAATTTGGTGAGTATGCAAAACTAAAAGGAATACTATAAGAGACTAGCTAAAGCTACTTTCTTTGATTAATTACAGGATATCCCCGCTGGGCGTTGCCTTTTTGATAGCCGCCAAGATCATTGAGATGGAGTCCATAGCCGCAACAATACAATCTTTGGGCTGGTATTTCATAACGGTCATGATAGGTCTCTTCCTTCACGGCTTTGGTAAGCTTCAACCACGTTAACACAATGTATCTGAAATGATTCTGGTTCTTTTCTACGTAATTCAGGCACAATTGCGGTAATATTCTTTTTGGGCACGCGTCGTATGCCATATCGCTTCATAGCCAAACTGAGTCAGGTGTTGGCCACTGCCTTTGGCACCGGCTCCAGTTCGGCCACGATGCCGTTAACCATCAAATGCCTGGACAACATGGGCATCGATCCACGAGTCACACGCTTTGTCATACCAGTGGGCGCCACGATCAACATGGACGGCACCGCCCTATATGAGGCCGTTGCTGCTCTCTTCATTGCCCAGTATCGTGAGATGAGCTACTCGTTCGGCACCATTGTGGCGGTGAGCATAACGGCGACGGCGGCTTCAATTGGTGCAGCGGGCATACCGCAGGCGGGTCTGGTTACAATGGTCATGGTACTGGACACGGTTGGCCTGGAGCCCAAGGATGTCTCACTGATCATCGCTGTCGATTGGCTGCTGTAAGTACTAATTCAACACTTTGACTGTTGCTAGATGCTTACAGATTCGCATTATCGTTTCAGGGATCGATTCCGGACCACCATCAACGTCATGTGTGACGCACTGGGCACTATTCTGGTTAATCATCTGTCCAAGAACGATTTGGCAAGCGTAGATCGTGTAAGTAGTTGTATACGTATATAGTTATATACTTACAGTTGTGTTTCTGCGTAAAATTTAAACAAATTGCATGCTGAGTACGAAATTCGTACTTGAAAAATAATTGTTTTTATCCTATAATTTATTAATATTCGATTTTGTCGGCTAAAGAATTGTGATTGCTTTAAGTAGAAAATTTATATCTCAAGTAACAAACACAACTGCAATTGAATGTCAATTAAATATGGAAATAATATTTGTATTTTTACTTAAACGTACATATAGCTAAACGCCGAGCCCCATGAGCTGCTCGAGCTTGGCCCGAATGGACATGAGATGAAAGAATGAAGGCAGTCTTCGCTTGGCGCCTATAACCGCAAGCGATGAGTGATGGAGGACGAGCAGGAGCACGATGACGAGAATCGAGTGGAGAATGATTTTGGGGTTTCTCGTTATCGTAAGCTGGCCTCATCATTCGGTTTGCGGCTGAAAGCAGCCAAGACACATTCAATTTCAAGCAATTTGGAACAGTTGTGAAAACTGTCAATGGAGACGAGAATTTATTAAATCGATTGTCTTCAATTGGACATTCGACAAAAATCAAGAAAGCTAAAAAGAAGATTGGATATTATTATTTCATTTAACATATTAATTATCATACATCATGATGTAAATAATTATGAATATAATTAAATTGAATTCAGTTCAAATTGATGTCACATTTTCATACTTAGTATTAAAAACAAAGAAAACATTGTTACAAACGCCTAAGAAACGCACAGATATCGTTCTAGCAATTATTCCATAATTATCAAATAGTCAATTTCAACAGTTAATAGCTATTGTTACTGCACTCGTAACGAGCTTCACAAAATATAATGAACAAAGGAAGAAAATCCCAAACTAGAAATTTGTAAAAATAACGAAACGTTATTAGCAAGTTTTGTGTTCAAAATAACTAGATTTAAAAAATAATTAAACAAGAAAAAAATTTGAGTTAGTTTGCTAAAATTTAAAAGTTGTAATAATATAACATACAATTCCAATGCCGTTAAAAGTTCTGGTTCAAAATTGAGCTTTGTAAATACTTAATAGTTTAAGTATAATTAAAAATTATATAAACGAATTAAGAAACAATTTCCAATCATCAAACAGCGAATATTCAATGACAATAATAAGCTCTGCGAAAGCTCAAAATAAATGTCAACAAAGTTATACGTAAAAATAAAACAAAAATAATAAGTAGTAATATTATTTATTACATGTTGTTAATTAAATTAAGTAATCGCCTTTGAACAGAAATGCAACGAAATAATTCGCCAAAAATAGGAATTTTCATTAACATCCATTAGGCGAGACAAAACATATAAAAGCATGGCAAATTAATTAAATATTACTTATGTCTAAATACATAAGCCGTTTCTAGATGTGTGTAGCCTAAATGTTTACAAATAAATTTTTTGAATCTGTACATGGTACTTATATAAAATTGATACATTTCATATCAAATTTTGATATCCGTTGAAGGATGTTACTAACTTCTCAACACATTATTTGCATTCAACAAAAGAAAAAGTGTATATATATGTAAATACAACCACTTATAACTTTCCATGGTCCTGCACAATTTATCATTTCCATAATTACATCGGATCGAAATAACTTAAAAGCGGAATCCCATTTTTATTCTTGACAAACATCAAATTATTGTGGGTTTTTTATTAGTTGAATTTCATCTTTAATCAATTTATATATATAATACATCAATATTCATATAATTTTATTTTATTATCATGTCTAATTCATTGTAAATAGAACTAATCTTAGAAATAGTTTTACTAGCATCATTAAAAAGCAGTAAATCTTATACAATATTTAATTTATATTTATTAATTTTATTATAATTTTAATGATTATTAATCCCAACCCGACATATTTTTATCTAATGTGCTAGATTATGTCTCGGAGAACTTCTGCTTCTGTAATATTCGCAATGTCTGAACGTTCCTTATATGTAATTATTTTTGGGTGAACTTCCTCTTCTTCTTCGCACTGAACATGACTATTGATATATATAGATGTAATATTCACTCACACTAATATGATATGTTTCTCAAGAGCAGACAAAAATTCCCCTTGGCTCTGAAAAAGTTTTCCAAATGATTTATGGAAATTGTTTGCCCTAAAAAACTGGAAACTGACAGCAACAGGCACTTCTAAATTCTCAGTTTATGCAAAAGTTAAAAAACAAGAACAGAAAAAACAGAAGTCAGAGAAAAAACCGGTCCAGGAAATCTTGCAGTGCCAGCCAGTATGTCCAGTATAATGTTTCAGGTGCAGCAGCTGACCAACAGTCAGTTGTACATCTTGTGCTACAATTACAACATTGCGCCACATCAGGTTGCAAACATGACTCGGCGGCAGCTGGAGCGCCGCCTCCATGTGGCCATTGTAACGGAACGCGCCAAGTGGATTGCTCGCGACTTATTGCACGGATCTGAGGCTGACCCGTATCCGCACAATCGAATGGCTTGGCAACCAGATGATAGCTCAGGCGATGATGAGCCCTGCATGCCACTGTCGCAGTGGCGCTATCTGGCTGCAGAGGAGCGGGCAAGGCAACGGTATTCTGGTGGCGACGAGTACATAAAACTGGAACAGCCGAGTAGGCTGGCACTGTGCATGGGGGAGGAGCAGTTTGAGGTTGAGGACGCATTTAGTGAAGGTGAGCCTCAGCCTGAACCTGCACTGATGCATAAGATGATGCTGTCGAAACAGACGAACACTCCTAGCGTCGAACCAGATACCGATTATCAATCGCTTAGCTTCAGCAGTGAGGATAGTAGTAGTGGTAGCTATCTATCTGCATCATCTGTTGAAACCATTCAACCGTCCTCAGGCTGCAAGGTGAATCAAATGAAGAGAGCGGAACACTGCAATTTTGCTGAGGATTTCAGTCAAAGTGATTGGATGCAATCGGAATCCGAAGCGGAATTCTCATCGGAGCAAGAGTTGTGCACCATCAAGTATCTGAACGAGGGACAACTGCTGGCCATCGATCTCACAAGCGCTGTCAGCCATCTGGCGGGGCTAACGACCAAAAAGGACTCCTCCAGTCTAACCTCCATTCGTCGTCAGCGTCCTTCGCTCTTGCGTAAGATAGTGCAAGGATTATGCTGCGATTCTCAGGGTAGACTGGATGTGGATAAGTTGCGTTGTACGATCATCTGCTGTGTGGTGGTCGTCTGCACCTATGTGGGCATCAAAATGCTACAATAAATTAACAACCAATTAGACACCATTCCAATTTTATAACAGAAATAACAACACAAAAAAAAAACAATACATTTATTTTTTTCCTGTACACTGCTGTCATTAATAAAGATTTTATAAAAACTGTATCCCTACATTTTTCACAGCTAAGAATTTTGCGTTTCATAACTGAAGAACAAAAACCTTTGACAGAATGCAGAAAGTATTTAATGTCGCTACTTCTTTTATACAAAGACCAACTTAATTTAAGATCAGGTTAAAATATTTAAATCGAGAGAGCTCATCTACCAGATATTTTTTTAATTAATGTTTTATTTAATTAATGTGATTTTAAGTATTAATCAAATTAAATAAATGGGTTAATACATTTTTGCAATTTTGATTGGTGTTAGATTTACTAACTGAAATAGGTTTGCTAGAAAGGGACTTTCTAGGGTGCTTTATCTCTCACTGGCAAGTGCCGGCAAGGAACTCAAGAAGTGCTTTACAGATTTTAATTTTTCCCTGATCCTTACAGCTTCTGCAGAAGTCTTTGAATCCATTAGCTTGAGTGTTAACTAACACAGATGACACTGAGAATGCTTGCACCAACTGCTATGTAATTTAATAAATATGAAAATCAAATAGGTAATAATACATTATCTTCTGTGAATTTAAATATTCGCAAAATAAACCTGATCTGCAAGTTGTATATGAGAGCTTGTATTCATATTTCAAAAATGTTTGCTCTTATAGAACGAACAGACAGATGGACATTGCTAACTCGACTCAGCTGGGATTCTAACCAAGAATATGTTTACTTGATTGGGTCGGAAGTGCTTAAATGCTTTTGCACAACCTGCTCTGTAATGTAAATTTTATAACTATAGACCTATATAATTAATATACATATATATATTCCAGAATATTGTGCAGGTAAATATTACATTTAATATAAGTTTGTAAAGATTAAATACTCACCATTTCCAAAACGTTTATAATATCTTCTTTGTTTTTCATTTCTGGTCAAGTTTTAAAGTTTATTTTATTCAGAAGAGTCCTTTACTTTTAGACAGCTAACAGCTGTTCAAGGCAATCGATTTTCCCATTGTCTTCTTAAACCAGATATCCTCAAAACGTCTATTGTATTTTATTGAGTCATTTCGCAACGAGAGCGCAATCAGAATTACAAATGAGATAATAACTATAAAATAAATATATAATCGCTGTCGTCATAAACAAGGCCCTCAACTCAAGGAAATTACGATGGTCCGTTTTAATGGGAAATCAGAATGTTAGAATGCCATATTTACGCAGTTAGTCTTTGAATTTAATGATTGTTGGAGTACGGTGAGCAATGCTGGAAGTGGCATCACTCATACGCCACGTGTTGACAGTAATTGCTTGCCAAATGTCATTCTTCACTTAAAGCGGAAATGAAACTGAAATTATATTTATGGTAAGCGTCAGTTGTGAGTTAGGAAAGCAACCAAGACTTGAATATTGTGAGGGCACATTAAATGGGATTGCATAAAAATAAGCCCTTTAGCATCTTTATCAAGGCGACTGCATTCAACTTCAGCAATCCACGTTTTGGCCACCTGGGAAGAGAGGTGAGAAACTCTCGTTGCCCATTGCAAAGATGCGCCAGCTTAATGACTTTTGGCAATTTCCCCAACTTGAATCTTGTTACTCGCCTTGGCTTGGTGCCGCTGACGACGCGTCGAGTTCCGGCTCTTCCTGCTGTTGGCAAGGTGTTGCAATAAATTTTCTAAAATGTCGTAAAATCAACACAGCAGTCTATTTTAGTTGCCAAATAACTGGATAATGCCGCAGAGAATTGGGAGTGTGTGTGGCCTTCAAGTGAAGCGGCTTGCAGCTCTTATTTCCTTGCAAAGGAAAAAATTATAAAGTTTTTTTCCTGCCCCAGGATATGTTGATAAATTGCTTTATTAAAGTTCATTTTTCTATTGCACATTTACAAGTTAAAAATTGCGCTGCTTAGAAAAAATCTATATACTTTTAATAATAAATACAATAGGTATACATTCAATAAGCAGCTTGTCATAAATAAGAGTAAAGACATAAAAAACAGAGATACAATATCGACAGCAACTGGCAAAGAATAACTCCCTAGCCTCTTTCTCCAAGCTGCCAGATGTGCGTTGCCGACACTTTAATACCCTATAATTTACACTGTCAATATTGTGCATATCTAAATAAATATGTTTACCCACGTCTGAATAGTCAAGACTGAAATTTGAACACTGACATCTTTAAGAAGTTTGCAAATAATTTTAAATCAACCAAATTTAATAATAAAATTAATACATAATACTTCTAATTATCTAAATTTAAACCTACTTGTCTACATTTATCATATTAACTAACTTGACTTTTTGTTAATGTTCTTTTAATTTTAAATTTACAGCGCATAAATATTTAATTTCAGTTTTAATATATACGTATAAATTTTTTTGTATTTCTATAGATCATCTGATCTAAGTCGACATCAAATAAATTAAGAAATGTTAATATACTCGAAATGCGCAATCTAGAATATACATGCGCTCTTTTATGAGTTTAATAGGTACAGGGTATAAAAATGTTGAATGGCATTTTAATTTTCAATAGAAGCCATAAAATTCCTTTAGCTTTTCTTGGCTATCCGCAACTGAGGAGACCTACTTATTACCCAATAAATTACGACGCTTTCTCTTCTTGGCTCACAAATGCAGACAAAAAATTTGTGAATTTTTGTGGAGACATTTAATTTAATTTATCAACAAATGGACAGCTAGTTAAGCAGTTGGGTGTTACGTCGCGCCACTTATCTTCAAATGAAATATGTACGTACATACGGAAGTGTTTCAACTTTTCTACTAAAAGAATGGCCACAATTCCAGCTAACACATCACTCTTGACCATAATCTTTGCCCAAGAGCAGCTCCAGCTCGAACTCGCTTTGGTCCGGCTAATGGGTTTGCTTGTTTGGCTTTGCTTCATGGATCGTTGACTCATTGGCTCACGTTGATTGTCATTTTGGCTACTTTGAAGATTCCTTTTTTTTCTTTTCTATTTTTGGACAGAACAAAAGCACTGCGTAAGCGGAGAATATCGTGTCATATCTATTGCTTATCTGTACTTTATTAGATTATCAGAACTGAGAAAAGTCCATCACTAATTATTTCTTCAGCTTTTGTCTTTGTTCAGTGAACA